CTGAGCAATAGCAAAAGAAAATGGTCTTAGTAAGGAATCATGAATAAATCAGCAACTGACTTCAAATAACTGAATTCCTAATTTACTCAGTGTAGAGATAACAAGCAGCATCAGAGGAGCAGGAAAGCTGACGTTTCGGGCCTAGACCCTTCATCAGAAATGGGGGAGGGAAGGGGGTTCTGAAATAAATAGGGAGGGGGGGCGGCGGATAGAAGATGGATAGAGGAGAAGATAGGTGTAGAGGAAACAGACAGGTCAAAGAGGCAGGGATGGAGCCAGTAAAGGTGAGTGTAGGTGGGGAGTTAGGAAGGGGATAGGTCAGTCCAGGGAGGACGGACAGGTCAAGGGGGCCAGATGAGGTTAGTAGGTAGGAAATGGGGGTGCGGCTTGAGGTGGGAGGAGGGGATAGGTGGGAGGAAGAACAGGTTAGGGAGGCGAGGACGAGCTGGGCTGGTTTTGGGATGCGGTAGGGGGAGGGCCTGCTGTGTTCATCCAGCTCTACACCTTGTTATCTCAGATTCTCCAGCATCTGCAGTTCCTACTATCTCTCTTACTCAGTGTAGAGCTTTGAATGGCTAAATAATCAAATTCATTATTGAACTGAATAAATAAATTCACATTTCAGCAAATAATTATTCATCAGTTGAATGAAATTATTGAATAAATAATCCATTCTCTGAATTGATTATGTGGCACGGTGGAAGTGCAACAGTACTTAAATAAATATAAGCCATTAGTTGTATAATCAATTATATCTGGGTAGTCAATTTCCTATCTGAACAAACATATCTTCCAAAAATATGTTGAGGGAATATTCAACAGCTGTGAGTCAATCTTCTGAGTTGTTTAATCTGCATACAGTGACTATTGCTAAACTCACCCCTAGTTGCACAAAATGACCACTCTCTAGAAGTATTCCTTCAGCACTCTGTTCCCCAGACAAAGTTTAACCTGTATTTCTCCAGCCAGTTCCTTTGTTTATGGTTCCTGTATTCTAATGGACCTTCCTTCTATCCCAGCTGCTTTCTTCCCCCATTTTATTGGGAAGTGTATCCCTCCCAACTGCTTCCGACCTCGCTTCTGTTTCCAATTTTCTGAGCCTCTGTGCTACAAGTCTATAAATAATTTAATAATCAGATATTACTGAGCTGCCTGAGTATTTCCAAATTTAGATTTTCTGATGGGAACAAGGGATGGGGTAAAAAAAAACAGCTGACCGTGGGCATTAAGTTGGATATCAGGGAGAACACTCAACACAAACATTGTAATCTGAGTTTGGAGAAATAAAATAGGAAAAGGGCCAAACGAATTGCATGAAATAAAACAATAGCAAAGAACTGGACCCAAAATGTTAACAGGAATTGTAAGCTTGAGAGTCTGAAAAGCTAACTGCACTTAGAAAACTTCAGTAGTCAGCAACTATTAAGTTCAGAACTATCAAGGGATTTCTGTGCTGCCTCCTGTCCCTAGCCTACCATTGATCACACTTTCTCCATCCTTATTGACATTCTTGAACACCCTCTGCAATACGCATATCAGGAAACCCCCAGCTAATTTAGATGTGATGGACTGTACTCAGCTGCTCAGCAAACATAGAAACTATAAGGACAAGCACATGGTGAACCTAAGAAACCTGTTTCTGTCAACCTCAGAGTGACAAATTGCCTTATTGGGCTGATAGGAAGAAAAAGAATCTTGGTCAAGAAAGGCATTAACAAGGTAGCAACATCTTACTAAAGCAACATGAAAACCAAAATCACCAAGATAAGAAGAAAATTGGTTTTCGTTCTAATGCCTGCTTCAGCACTGTGAAGGAGAGGAAAATGCAGACAAAAGCAGCCAGTATGAGAGTGATTTTTTGGGCAGTAAATGCAATCTCGGGTGACTAGTTTGCTTTTCATACAAAAGTTGGCGTATATGTAACAAGCCTGTGTTATCCAGCATTTGGAGCTGGAAATGATCACAACATCAGTGCCTTGACACCGGAAAAGAAAACATCAGCCTATTATCTCCCAGATTGGTCACAAATTAATCATTAGACGTCTCAAAAACTAATTCTTTAATGAATTTTAAATTGCATTTCAATAATTGCTTCCTCCAGCTCTCTAAAGATTCAGTTCCATAGCCTGCCCACTCTGTCACTGAAATATTGTTTCTGCAGATTAGTTCCAGTGCAGGTCAGATCCCCTGAGTCTACTAGGCCAGATAAGCTGAAGTTGCTTACCATGCTTTATGTTGTGCACTCTCTTCAGAATCCCCAAATCAGCAATCTCCTCTTCTCCAGCGAAAACATGATGAATTTATATGTTCTGGGTATAGTTATTTTGGATCCTCATAAACCACCACACCAGACTATGTTACTTTATCTAATTGGTAAACTGGCAGTGCTAAATGTGGAATCAGCCTGGTATTTCATCACTAGATGGGTTTTTGGCTCTGTAAATAGTTTTTAATGAATTGTTTGTGTAAAATATGAACTTTTTTTCTGTTATCAAAACAACCCCATCACATTAAATGGAACTGGATAGAGGCCAACTACTTTATGAAACATTACAACTTGGAAGTAATTTGTTTCCTCATATGTTGAGAATTGATATATGATAAGGACTTTGGAAGGCACATTTTTGATCAGATCATGATCTTCAAGGAACAAAACCGATGAATTCCATTGTATTTATTGTTTGGTGTGGCTCTTTACCCAGGGAAAAGATCAATAAGAGGTGAGATTTGTTTGGTTGCAGGCGGTGACGCACGGTTGTAAAAACATGATAGGTTATCTGAAATATACATGCCCCCTAGTTTTATTCCAGATAATTCTTTTACATTCCAATTACCGAAGTCTCTGAGTGGAGATGCACTTGTCAATTATATAATCCACGTTAAGGCCTGACTTTATCACAGCCCTGAGGTGAGGTCCAGTTATGTCTCAAGCCGAAGCATCCTTCTTTTGGTGACCTTGACTCTGACACAGACAATTAAGAGAACTCAGGTCAGAAATGGGACTGTTGAGAATGCATTTAGTGAGACAACCTCAATTAAGGCATCCATATTTTTTCTGTTTTGTTTATAAGTTGCCAATTAGTGACCCATATAATTTTTCAAACAATGCAACTTTGAGAGAAAGTCCAAGAACTCTTCTCTCCATTTTGAGATGTATATCTCTCCCCTGCCCAGCCCTCACAACATCTTAATTTTATGGTTTTGCTTTCAGCAGAACTGGCCTATATTCTGCTATTAACACCTACACTGGATCTGTGTGGTGTCACTCTCTACCACCATTTCCACTCCCATTTAGAATCATAGAATTGTAGAATCCCAACAGTGTGGAAGCACGCCATTCAGCCCATCGAGTCACACCAACCCTCCTAAGAGCATGCCACCCAGACCCACACATCTACCCTATCCCTATAACTATGCATTTCCCATGGCTAATCCACCTAGCCAGCACATCCCTGGACACCAAGGGCAATTTAGAATGGCCAATCCGCCTAACCTGCTCATCTTTGTACTGTGGGAGGAAACCGGAGCACCTGGAGGAAACCCACGCAGACACAAGAAGAATGTACAAACCCCACACAGATAGTCACTCAAGGCTGCAATCAAACCCAGGTCCCTGGCACTGTGAGGCAGCAGTGCTAACCGTTTGTTCTGTGACACATTTTATTTCCACATTCCCTCACTTTCTAATCTTTCCCTGACCTTCCTTTCTGTACTGTTTGTTTCCCTTCAACTTTTTCAACAACGTAAAAGCTGTCTTCAGTTCGGAAGAAGGGTCCAAATGGATTTGAAATGTGAACCTGCTCAGTCTCTTCAGACTTTGTTTTCACTTCAGTCCAGTGGATTGGTTTTTCACTGACAACTTAAAACATTTTTTTTTAAGTTTACAGAGCAGACGATTGAAGAAAAATCTTCCAAGAACGACACATAAACTGACCTTACCTCTTCTCCATTAATTTGTGACTCATATCTTGTGAGTTAAAGCCAAAATGCATTTCGTTTGTGCTCACCACTAAGTTTAATGGCATTTGCTGACTTTGGGGACAGTGAACCTTCTCACAAAATATCCCAAATCCTAAGTCATCAGCTAGCTCAAGGTGAGACGTTGCCAAGTCTAGTGGCTGTGAGCAGTGAATAGCTGCCAAGTTGAGCAGAAAACTTACTTTGGAGGTAAAGCCAGAAGATAAATGGACAAGATTAGCTGAGACAGCGCTGAATAAGGTAATATGGCACCCCAATAACTCAACAACCCTATTGGTGTTGAACCTATTGTTGCAAAAAACAGTTACATCTGTTAGTTTTGTTCTCTGCTGAACACAAGTGAAGACACAGCCAAGGTGTCTTAGTGTCTCAGTGCACATGAATAATGACCAGGGCTAACCTCTTTTCCCTTACTGTCAAAAAATAGATCTGATGGAAATGTAAGTGGGATGTGTGCATATGTTTTCCATCTGCAATTTTTAAAGGAGTTTGGAGTCCTCCTGACACTTTGAAAAACTGGCCTCATATGACATCCTATCCATGTCAGTCATGTCATATCCTTACATATGCACCTCACAGCAACAGTCATCAGATAGTAATTGGGTGACAGAAACCCCTAGTGATTTTCCTTCCTGCTTAACCCTAGGCTAGGTCAAAACATGCATCATCCCCATCACTTCAGATGTGTTCATCTATAGTGATGCAAATAGAATTACAATAAAATTAAATAGAATTATTCATGATTCCACAAAATGACATAGAATTATATAGAAGTTATATACAATTTCAAAGTTGAAACAGGCATTTTGAGTTTATATTGATATTTATCCTTAAACAGGCAATTGTGCTAATTCCCTATTGCCACTCTGTTCCCGTATTCTGTTTATTCCTTTTTTCCTTCAACCACCTATTCAGAGACATTGACAATCAGTAACTATGGTAGCTCTTTCCACAACCTGACAATATTGTAAATAAGGTTTGTCCCACTCTTTCCTCAATTGATTTAGCATTAAGTGACTTACCTTTTTTCCTGTACACTATTTGTGGTTCCTCAGGTAGGATAAGGCCGCAGTCCATTTCAGAAAAATTACGATTACTACTTTTTTGGCAAAGCTGTGTGTCTGGGTATAGTACGCATTCAAAATGCAGGGCCTCACGGTCCTGTAAAGTTGCCACATTGCAAACATTCACCTCTGTGCAACCTGAAATTAGAAAATGGAAAACCTAGCTCAGTGAACAACAAAATAACCGTAACTCTGTCTGAATTGCGCCAGTTTGGACATTCCAAAGAACATCTCTAATACATAACTTGAACGCGGTCACTTTGTGTGCAAGTTTGCATTTCCTGCAGTCTAGAAGATTGGGAAGTTGAGCTGAGATATCGGCTGTGACTCAATGGGTAGTTTGCTGGCCTCTGAGTCTAAAGGGTGTGGAGTGTTCCATGGTGTCCTCAGCAAACTTACTTGTCCAGCAAGATCACACAGGAGAACTGACTCAGAACTATTATGATGTAGGATGCCATTCAGCCCATTGTGTCTACAATGGCTCTCTGAGCAGTTTGGCTTAGTGCCAAACTTCTGCCTTCTCACCATAACCCTACACATTGTGTCTATTTAATGCCTCAGTTGAACCTGTTTCTGACACATTTCCAGGTAGTGTATTCAAGCTACTTGCTGTTTGAGAAAGCTTTTCTCACTTTGTATTTGCTTCTCCAGAAAAACCCTTTAAGTCTATGCCCTCTGGTTCTCAATCCTCTTATAAGTGTGAACAGCTTCTCCCTACCTGCTCTGTCCAGACTCCCATGATTTTGGAAACCTGTATCAAATCTCTTCTTAGCCTTCTTCTTTCCAAGGCAAACAATCATAAATTCTCTAATTTGGCCTCATCACTGATGTTTCTCATCACTGGAATCATTCACGTAAATCTTTTCTATTGAGTGCATTCACAACTTCCTAAAGTGCAGGGCTTAGTACGGGACACAATACAACAGTATAGTTCAGTTGGCTGGCTAGTTGGTTATGATGCCAACTGTGTGCGTTCAATTCCCATCACCAACTGAGGTTACCATGAAGGACTCTCCTTCTCAACCTTACCCCAATTAAGGTATGGTGGCCCTCAGTTTTAAATCACCACCAGTCTTCTCTCGCTAATGAGAGACCCACCCTATGGTCTGGTAAAACTACGGCTACACAATGGAGCAGTTGAGATCTAAATAGCGTCTTATATAAATTCAGCTTTTAAACTCTATGTCCCCAGAATACAGTTTTATTAACAGTTCTCTATATTTGTCCTGAAATTTTATTAGCTTATGCGCATATACACTCAGGCCTCTCTACAAACGCACACTCTTTAGAATAATATCCTTATAATAACCCTTAAGTTATACTGCCTTTTCATGTTCTTTCTCCCAAAATGTGTCACCCCACACATCTCCACAACGAACTTCATTTGCCACCTATCCAACTACTCCACCAGCTTACCAATGTCCTTCTGAATTTATACACTATCCTCCTCAGTTGATAATTTTCAGAAGCTTTATACCGTCTGCAACCTTTGACATTTTCCCCTGCACACCAAAATCTAAATTTATAAATGTCAGGACAAGCAAAGGTCCATTATTGATTCTGGGGAAACTCCATAAAGCAGCTGCCAGTCTAAAAAATACACATTAACTATTGCGCTCAGTTTTGTTATCACTCAGCTAATTTTGTGACAGAATTACTACTGTCTCTTTTATTCCATTAACTTTCCTCACAGGTCTACTGTGTCGAAAGCCTTCTGTAAGTCCATGTACACCACATCATCAGCTTTACGCTCATGTAACACTGTCTTGTTAGCTTTCAAATGATGATTACCTCAGAGCTGTTATGAAAGCCTCTGTACACAATCACATTGCTGTATGTCCTATCTTACAACAGCGGCTGCACTTCAACGGCTTCATAATGTTTAGGGACATTCTGAGGCATGAATGATCTATAATTTCAAATCTTCTTACAACACATGTTTCTTCAGCATTGGTGGTTCTGGAGCAAAGTGCCAATTTTATAATCGAGTATAAAGACACAAATATAATTTGAAAATAAATAAGAGTTTCATCTAAAGTAGGTTCCTTACGTGCCAGACACCACAGCTCTGCCTGTGTCATTGGGAATTGATGCTTGAAAAGCTGGTAACGCTGGTTTGGAACAGACTGGTTCAGATCTACTCGGACAAGTTTGAAGCCCAGCTGTGAGAAGTGTTCTCTGGTGTTTTCTAATCAACACAGAAAATAATTTTTAAATCCTTGTTGCTAAACCGATCAGCTAAGGTTTCACATGTTGGTGGCCACTGTCTTTTTCACGCATCTAAAAACATAAAATATCTGGATCAAGGAAGGACACCCGTGTTCCTAGGGCTTCCAGCTTCCCAACATGACTTCTAAATTGTGTTCCCTCCTACCTCTCATCTCCTGTAAACAATGGGTCCATATGTCTCAATAAAAATATTAACTAAAGTAAAACAACTTTCCTAAAACAACAAACTAAAGAACTTGAAATATTCTGGGGTTGACTCGGATTCTTAATGACTATGAGTGATTTCGACAAGGTAATGGGGAAACATTGTTTTCTTCATTTGGTGAGTCAACAATCAGAGGGTGAGAATTGAAGACATTCAAAAGAATGAAGGGAAAGGTTAAATTTAAGATTTTTTTGCATAGATGTTTGTTAGATCTTAGGAGAACTGAAGGGAGAAAAATATTTGAAAGGGGAAGTGAACAACTATTTGAAAAAGAAAATCTTAGAAATGTGTGCAGAAAGGACAAGTGACTGGGACAATGCTTTCAGAAAGTCAGAAAAGGCTTTATGAGCCAAATGGCCTTCTTGTGTACTGTCAAATTCTATAACATGTGAATATGTTAAGCATGTGCATGTTATAATCACGCAGAACAACTATCCAGGCTACGGCGTCTATAACAAAAGGCAGTAAGGTAGGTCAATGTGTTAAAGCGCCCAAATAACCTCCTGACTCCATGGCTTTCAACCATACAAAGAAGTACCTAATAAAACTCAAGAGTTCCTCTATCAGGAAGCAAGAAAAGCAAGGTGGAGATTTCTTTTTTTGAGCATCTGTCTGTAAGTTAGCTTTGGTAAAAATCCAAATGTTTAGCATGCTGCTGTAGGGACGCGGACAGGTAGAGAAAGAAAGCAGAATAAATATTACAGGGAAATCAGTGATGAAGGTGAAGGAAGATTTGAGTGGCTAGTGAAAGGGAATAACTATGTACAATGGCTTCCACAATTATGTGCTGCCTGAGAGGGTGAATAATCATTGAACTTTAGCCAGGAATTGATTTTCCAAAAAATTCTAATTAATAGACCGTAATTTCTAATCTGGCAATCCTCATCAAAACATGGTGAGAGAATTAGCCCTTGGCGTGAATTGATCCAGTGGGATTTGCTCCTTCATTCCCTAGACTGATGGTGGGATCTGCTTCAACTCAGTCTGTGTGATCACTGAGCTGAATGGATCTTCAAAGGTCAGGTTTCATAGTGTAATTGTGTTGCCCCACCCCAGCCCAGTGCTGAAAGATGGATGGAAATTGCTTCAGCAACAGCCTCAGTTGGCAGTGTTGGTGGAACAAAGTGATATTGAATAATTGTTAATTTTTAAACTATCTTCCAGTTTACCCTTTGATCAACTGCACAAGGCAAGGTGGTCCTTAAGTTGCCTGAGCCACTACATTAACACTGCAGAAGGCACAGATTAATTGATATCTTATTGACAATGTTGGACATACAACACCGTTCCATCATTAAAGTGTAACTTTATATAGCTTTCATCTTTTTCTGTTATTCATTCAGGGATTTGGACTTTGTTGACTGGTCTAGCATTTATTGTCCACCATTCAGTGCGCTTATAAAGGTAATAGTGAAGTGCCTTCTTAAACCGCTGCCATTTATTTTGAGTAGAAATGTCACTATGTCAGTGAAGGAGCTCTAGGATTTTGACCCAGAGAAACTAAAGGAACAACAATATATTTCCAAGTCAGGATGTTGCTGGTGGTGTTCCTGTTAGCCAGTGATGGCTGCATACCTGAATTGCTAACAAAAATAAAGGTGGACCTATTCAATATCTACCATCACTTTGTGTAAGAAATACAAGAACATGAGTGACTCCTAACTGCTCTTCGTAAGCACTTAGTTCTCAACCTCACATGATAACAAAGGTAAAGATTAAATGCTGACTTTACAAATAGGAACCTAGAAACACACAAATCAGAACAGGAGTAGGCCATTCAGCCCTTCGGATCTCCTCCATTCCCTGCCCCCCACTGATAACCTTTCATACACTCACTTAGCAAGAACCTATCTACAAGTTAAATGAGTAGGATATACAGTCCTCGTGCCCCTTCTGCCATTCAACTAGATCATGGCTGAGCTGTGCTTTAACTCCATTAATTCATCGCAACTTCATATTTTTAATACCCATACCAAACAAAAAGAAAATCTATCTTGCTCTTGGAAGCTTGAATTGTTTCAGAAATTTGTCAGAGAATATGCCTTTTTGTGCGTTAGCTTTACAAATACCTGGCACATCTGGGGTCTGTTGAATTTCAAGAACTTTCCCAGTACATTCAGGGGATGACTTTATCCGTGTGTTCATGTTGGAATCTAAAAAAACATTTTAAATAGAAACATTAGTTCAAATAACTTGGGATATTTGGAATAAATGTGCCTATAAGAATAGTTCCTGAGTTAGGCCACCAAGTGATATGTTAAACAATTTGTGACTCTAGGGGGAAATAAATAATATTGATCCTGCTCCCTAATGGTCAACAGTGATGAACCACGTGGCTCTGATTCTTGGAACAGTCAAATGGCTCTGCTTAGTTTTACGGAGAAACAAACAGCCTTGAGTTTAAGGCCAATGGGCTTCCATGATTCTCAAAACTTGAACAACCTATTGAGATAAGAATAATTCTTCACAAAAATGAATAGTTCATCTCTCCTATTCTTTCCAAACCAACTATTTCTAATGTAAAGGATCCTTCAGCAGCAGGCAGGGATTGTGAGGGAGGTTAGCTTGAGTAATTGAGCCATGACCTCCAGCAGTAGATGGCAGAAGTGTGGGTGGGCACTATGACAGTATCTGAGGCAGTCGAATGGACACTTTCTGAAGGTAAGGGGTTCTTTTCGGGAAGGAGGCCTGATGGAAATGAGAAGACGAAGGATTATTTCAACCACATGTAAAACCGAGGGTTAACTCATTTGAGGTTGTGTAATTATGACTACACTTTAAAACCTTTAATAAGAATAAAAGTATTGCAGAGGTAATGGTTCAGTGGTATTATCTCTAGACTATTAATCTAGAGACCCAGGTAATGTTTTGGGGACCCGAATTTGAATCCCACCATGGCAGATAGTTTGATTCAACAATAACCTGGAGTTAAGAGTCTAATGATGACCATGAATCCATTGTTGATTGTTGGGAAAAAGCCATCTGGTTCACTCATGTCCTTTTAGGAAGGAAATCTACCACCCTTACCCACTCTAGCCTACATGTGACTCCAGATCCCAGCAAAGCACTTGACTCTTAAATGCCCTCTGGGCAATTAGGGATGGGTAATAAATGATGGACCAGCCAGTGACATCCACATACCGTGGTTGATTACTAAAACAAAAACCATGTACATATTGTGTTTATTTCAAGTAATCTTTCATTTGACATTAAAAAAAAAGTCAAGTAACATGTACTCATTTGGAAAGTTGTGAGTTTTTCCTTTTGCACAATACAGAGATGAAAACAATGATCTTCCAGTATACAGGACATGATCTGACACAGTGACAGAGATGAGGGGTGGAGGAGCAAAGGAATAGAAAATACTCTGAACAGTCTTATTGATTCCGTCTGGGTTTACATAAATGTTTAACCTTAATTTCCCTTCATATTTGTAATGACCTGACCATTTAGATAAAGAGTTACTGGTCCATGGTGTTTTGGTCTTCCATGTGTTCAAATCTAACAGTACAGTACATTAATTTGGAAATTCTGAATTAAAAGGTCTTCAAACCAGGACACTAATCCCATCCAGAGTGCTCCACATCATGGAATAAAACCTGTTCTAAATAGTCGAGGTGAAGTTTCAATGGATGAACAATTAAAGGTGGAAGAGATGGAAATTAACCTTTACATATAATTTCTCATGTTGTAGCACTCTATATTGCAGATACTGATACATACAAATTCTTCTCTTGGTGAGAATTTATCAAAATTTACTTGTCATTACTTCTCAGTTCTCTAAGATATTGAAACTAAATAAGTAAAATAAAGATAAAGTCCTCAAGCTGCTGGAAATCTGAAACAATCGCAGAGAATTCAGGAGAAAGTTAGCAGGCCTGGTATCTATGGAGAGAGAGATAGGCAATGTTTTGAATCTGATTTGACTCTTCTTCAGATTATGTTCCATTCTCTATGTTTGTTTCTAATGCACAGAAATTAGCTGACCTATATGATTTATTTTCAATGTGTCCTTGTAGCTACAGAACGGAGAAGTGAAAGGTTTTAATCCTAGTCTATAATAACCAAACTCATCTCGAGTAGCATGGTGCTGAGAAAGGTATAATCTTTTGTTGAATTATTGTCACTAAAGGGAAGATAGACACACAAACAGACTTGGTTACGCTGCCTGCCAAAGTGAAATAATCTTCCAGCACTTATTGTCAATGAATAGTCACTTTAGGAAGATATGTGAGAGCTACTAGTATCCCAGAACTGCATTCAACATTTAGTGAAAGGGATTAGTGCTCTAAGATAAGGATTGAACAAAATAAGCAACGACAAAATCTTAAAAGAAAGGTTATCTGCAGTACAACAGAAAATTAAGCTTACCCCGCCAGAGATAGATACGCTGGAAAGGGTTGAATGATTTCTGAATCTCTTCCTTCATATCTGGAGTCAGTTCTGTTGAGTACTCAGCATTCACAAAATTCTTTGATAAAAGTGCATAAGCTGCATGGAATTGAGATAGGTTAGTTTATTTCAAGTAATCTTCCATTTGACATTAAAAAAAGTCTTTCATGTGACATGTACTCATTTGGAAAGTTGTCAGTCTTTCATTTTGCACAATAGAGAGATGAAAACAATGATCTCCCAGTATACAGGACACAATCTGACACAGTGACAGAGATGAGGGGTGGATGAGCAACGGAATAGAAAATATTCTGAATGGTCTTATTGATTTCCTCTGGGTTTACACAAATGAATGATTATTGGATTGCCTATGCTCCATCAAGTTTTCAGAACCATGTGAACTGGTGATAATAGATTTCAGTAATGAATATTCTTTGTAGTGTTTTTTTCTTAAATTTAGTTGAGTTGGGATATAACCGGCTGAGCCAGCATTTATGGTTTATTCCTCGCCGTGCTTGCAATGGTGGTGGTGAGCTGCCTTCTTGAAACTCTGCAGTTTCTTTGGTGCAAAAATACCTACTATGCCATTTAGAAGGCATGATGTGGAGGTGTTGGTGTTGGACTGGGGGTGGCCAAAGTCAGAGTCACATAACATCAGGTTATACTCCAACAGATTTATTGAAAATCACAAGCTTTCAAAGCACTGCTCCTTCATCAGGAGAGATAGAAAGGTAGTTCCAGGGTATTGACTAAAGGACAGTGAAATATTTCCAAGTCTCGATATTGAAAGACTGGAAGGGAACTTGCAAGTGATAGTCCCATGAACCTGAGATAACACAGTGTGGAGCTGGAGGAGCACAGCGGGCCAGGCAGCATCAGAGGAGCAGGGAAGTTGACGTTTCAAGTCGGGACCCTTCTTCAGAAAAAACCTTCTACATGTTTTCAACATTGTTAGCAGTACAAAGAACCAATGGATACATGCATACCTGTGGAAACAGAAATAGCTAAAGCGTCGAAATTAAAGGAAAATACTACAGATGTTGGTAATCTGAAAAAAGCACAAAAAGTGCTGGAGAAACTCAGCAAGTCAGCAAGGCAGCATTTATGGAGAGAGAAACAGTCAACACTTCAAGTCTTATAATGACACTTTGAACTGAAAAAGTTCTGAAGATGAGTCTAGTGTGGTATGACTCCTTTTCGATTGAAGACATTTATAAGAAGAGTCTAACTGCACTCATAACATTACCTCTGTTTCTCTCTTCACAGATGCTGCCAGATCTGCTGAATTTTCCAGCATTTTCTGTGTTTAAATCATCTTAAATTTACCCCCAGAAAGCCATGACCAGCTCAATGTGAGATTTCCATTTCCTATTAGAGCCAGGGTCTTGTTGTCTATAAATGAGATTGCTTAATGAGTTATCAGTTATTATGAAGTATTATTGTACCACTGAAATGTGCAATGGGATTGCATTGAAAATTTAATACCCTATTATGCTTAGTACCATATTAAGACGTATATTTATTATAATTTACCTCGGTCTTCTGTCTATGGATTTCACAGGGGAGAAATTTAGCTCAGGCTGAGAATCATAACTGATTCTTAGAAATTAAGTGGCCAGCACTTCAGACCAATGGTGGCCATAGTTTGCGTGTAAGTGAATATATGGCAATAAGCTTGGATGTTGAAATGGGCGTAAGTCTGCTTAAAAATAGAAACTGAGGTTCCTGGTAGTTATAAAACATCAATTGTAAAATTCAGGTGTAACAAGATATTGAACCAAGAAGAAAGAGACTGGCCAGGATTGGTATTAAAAAATAAAGGAGCCATTATGTTTTCACTTTTTGTCCCAGAAGAAACAGGTTTACTCCAGTAAGAATTGCAATGTAACAAAGGCCCACTGACAGAATGTTTGATACGCCACATCTACATGTGGAAAAACCAATGTCTGCTGCATCTGGACAAGTGCTGATCCCAGCATGCTGGTGCATTTGACATAGGAAATATTTATCTCATAATATCATAACAAATAGAAACAGAGGGAGGCCATTCAGCCATCTCTGAAATTCAATCAGATCATGGCTAAGTCAATGGTAGCTTTGATCACTTTCCCACCTGCCCTCATAGCCCTTGAGTCACCTTGTACATTAAAAATCTGTCTAATTCAACTTTGACTGTATTCAGTGAACCAGTCTCCATTGCTCTCTTGACGTAGATAATTCCAAAGGCTAATGACTCTATAAGTGTAGAAATTTCTACTCACTGTAGACTCAAATGAGAAATTCCATATTTTAACTATGTTCCCTAGTTCTATAATATCCCACAAGGGTAAACATCTCAGCATCTGCTCTGTCAATCCCCTCAGAATCTAAGAGATTTCAATATTCTCATTCTTCTAAACACCAATGTGTACAGGCCTGGGCTGCTCAACCCTTTTTCATAAGGCAACCCCTTCATCCCAAGTATCAGCTGAGTAACTATTCTTTGACCTGGCATCAGTGTCAGTGTTTTGCCTCAATAATTATCCTCCTTAAGTGAGGATATTGAAACTGCGCACAATTTTATAGAACAAAGCCTCATCAGAGCCTTGTGGAATTTTATCAAAACTTCCACAATTTCAGGGTCCATAAGGGCCAATATTTCATTTGTCTTCCTTATAACTTGCAGAAACTGTATGTTGACCCTTTTGGAATTCATACACGAGGACACCCAGATCTCTCTGAATCACAGCATTCTGCAGTCTTCTTCCATTTAAACAATATTCTGTTTTTCTATGCTTCCTGCCAAAGTTGACAATCTTACATTTTCCAACATTACATTTGACTTCCATTATATGTCCACTCTCTTAACTTAATCCCTTTGCAGACTCTTTTTAATTTCCTCACAATTTGATTTCTTACCTAACTTTTGTCATCAGATACTTTGGCTACAATGCAGTTGATCCCTTTATGCATCAATAATACAGTGGTACTTCACTATTAATACTTTGCCAACCTGAAACTGATCCACTTTATCCCAACTCACTGATTCCTGCTCATTAGATAATCCTCTAGCCATCCTAATATATCAGTCCCAATAGTATGTGTTCTTAACTCGCGCAGTTACCATCTATGTAACACCTTACTGAATGTTACTTTGTGAGAAATCTAAGTACATTATATTGAGTTACTCCTTTATCTGTTTGTTACATCTTCAAAGAACTTTAAGAAATGTCAAAAATGATCTTCCTTTCACAGAACGATGTTGACTCAGCTGATTTTATTATGATTTTCTAATTCCTCAGCTAACAACTCCTAAGTAATAGATTCTCAAGTTTTCCTAATGTTAGGTTAACCAGTACATTGTTTCCTGCTTTCTATCTCTCTTCTGTCTTGAATAGTTGGTTACATTTACAGTTTCCAATCTGGAGATTTCGGAATCTAGGGAATTGGTTTGGGTCTCACTTTAGCATGAACCAGTCAACAGTGAACACGGAGTTGACTCTATAAGACCATAAGAAATAAAAGTACGCCATTCGGCTTGCTTGAGCCTGCTCCACCATTCAATATCCAACATTCTCACATTCACTTTCCTGCCTTTTTCCTATAACCCTTGAATCCCTTATAAATCAAGAATCTATCTATTTCAGCCTTAAGCATACACAAGAGATTCTGCCCTCTCAGCTCTCTGTGGCAATTCCAGAGATTCTCAACTCTCCTGGTACTGGCACCCCTTTATTCTGAGACTATGCCAGACTTCCCTATGAGCTGAAGCATCCTCTCAGCATTTTTCCTATCAAGCCCATTAAGAATCTTATATGTTGCAATGAGATCATCTTCTAAATTCCAATCAGTACAGCTTCAATTGTTTAACCTTTGCTATCTTCGTCAGGATTTCATTCATCCTCCAGATTATATATAACATTTTCAGCCTATGTTGTATTTAACTATATACATTGAACTGCCTTGTCTTTTGATATGTACTCTGCCAGTGGTCCTTAGTGGGTAAATGGAGTTGAAGTACGAATCAACCATGATCTAATTAAATGGTGGAACAGGATTGAGAAGCTGTAAGACCTATTCTTCTTTCCATGTTCATTATATTTCTCAGTCATACCATCATGCCAAGTAAGCTGAACTCCCATTGTTACCCAGTCTCTCCAAAAGGGAATTCAGTTAAACATCTTAGGTAAGACAATACCAGCAACTTTAAGGGTGAGGGACAGAGTAGAAGCTGCAATTGATTTTGGAAAATACACAAGGAACTGCTGGCCCAGAGCCTAAGAACTCAGGAGTCAATGCCTGGTCAATGGGAATCTAAGAAAGACTTGGGATGGCTCTTGCAATGGATGGCAAGGATCCAGCTTTGAAAATTGTTGTTGCCGCAATAATTTATCAAACTGTGGAGTCTCTTCATTTCAAAAATAATGAATTTGATCCACATATTATGGAGAGGCATCATTTATTGATCTTTATTCTTTTTTATTAGTTGCATGTCAGTCAGTATTACTCGACATTAAACAGGGCTTATTATTCATATAAATTAACACAGATTGTTTACATGCTTTGGGAGGCAGGTTGGGGGGGGTGACCAGTTTTACTGTACTATTTGTGTTGAGGAAGCTGTTCAGTATAACTGGGGCCTGAAGAGGAACCAAATAACTTTAACCTTGTAATATGAATTGTCATTTGAAGGTCTCATGTCTTTTCATACACTGAAGGTTCAGCCACAGTGGGAGGGGTGCATCAGTTCCCACATAACAAATTTAAAATTCTATCAGAGTAGAGATGGGGCTACTTTTATAGGTTTTAGGCTGTGCCTGGCTTATTACTAGAAACAATTTAGCCAGGTTTCTTTGTTCAACAAACAATAACTAGTTAACTACAAATAAAACATATACAAGTTGTTATAAATGGTTTAGATCACAAAAAGGTAGTTATAACTTATATTCTACCATTCCAAAATTAACATGAGACAAACTACAGTTGAACACAAATAAGTCAAATAATAATTGCAATCAAGACAGATCCTACATGTTTCTCAGTAATCCTCCCAAGACATTAGTAACACTGTGAGTCACCATATCTCAATAAAACTTCACAAGGGATTACAATTCATCCATTTTGTTAACCTGGCCTGGACAGTGCCTCCAAAGCCATCTGATTGTTCTCATCCTCGTTCACCTTTCTATGATCTCCTGGTTTCTGGAAACTCATTCCAGCACTTACTCATCGGTGCAACTCCAGCTTTTCATATGTAATAAGCTTCAACAAGCCCTTGCTTTTGTTTCCTGAGTTCCAATCTTGCTGAGTTGCAAAAAGCAAATCCTGGTTGTGGGTTTCCTTCACTCTCACTCACAGATGCACTGAACTATTAATGGTATATAGCATCTTCCAAGTTACCACAGCTCCCAGAATGTATCTGTCTCCAACATATACCTGCTTTGTACTGATTCCTAGAATGTCTTCCTCAGTTCTGACTGCACAGAGCCAACAGCACCCTATGTTATGTCCTTAGTTTAACAGTTGTTTTCTGCATGGATCTTGTCTCTATGTGCCTTTTACTTAATCCTGGGTAAAAATGAATGAAACTAATAATTTGGAGCAATCAAATGTTCCAACCCTTGAAACTGTCTGCTCCATGAATTGTACAATGTGTCTCACATTGCTGACTTCCACAGCGCAATATGCGTACAACCCAAAACAGTTCATAGCACTGACTACAATTTTCCTGCAACTGTTTCAGCTTCAAATTAAAAATTCTTATCACTGATTCAATCTGCCTTCCAACCATTTGATCAGAAGGACGTAATTCATATTAAAAAGTTTCATCCTACCACATTTTATCCACTATTTTCTTATATCAATCTCTGCAACTGGAGAATGTGTTGGAATATTCCCCAAGAACCAGGAGAGTGATGGAATGCTGCCCACTTGCCTGGTTGAGTGCAGCTCCAACAACACTCAAGAAGCTTGACACCATTCAGGGCAAAGCCGCCCGCTTAATTGGCACCGCATCCACAGGCATCCACTCCGTCCACCACCCACACTTAGTAGCAACAGTGTGTACTATTTAAAAAATGTACTGCAGAAATTCATCAAAGATCCTTAGACAGCACCTTTCAAACTGATGACCACTACCATCTAGGAGGATAAGGGCAGAAGATACATGAGAACACCACCACCTGCAAGTTTCTTCCACACCACTCACCATCCTGACTTGGAAATATATCACCATTCTTTTACTGTCGCTCAGTAAAAATCCTTGAACTCCCTCTCTAATGGCATTGTGGGTCTACCTACAACACATGGACTGCAGTAGTTTAAGAAGGCAGCTCACCACCACCTTCTCAAAGACAAATAAGGACTGGCAATAAATGCTGGCCCAGCCACCAACACCCACAACTGAATTAAAAAAAACTTTGGCTCCTTCCACCACTATCTCGGTTCCATCATCTTATCCCCAGTTTATCATCTCTGAACTCAATTTGCTCAACATCCTTCCTAGGTGACCACCAATTTTCTACCTGGACAAACTCTACCAAATTCACAACTCATCTGTGCATACTCTGTCCCATATTACTTGTTCATGTCCTTAACTGTATTGGTGTAAAAGGGGCCCAACATTTTCAATTAAAATTCCTGGCCACAAAATTGAACTTTATTCTGAGGAAAGGTTACCTGCCTGATGATTTAGGAACATAGGTACAGGACCCATTCAATCCTTCAAGCCTGTTCCACCATTCAAAGAGCTCATGGCTGATCTGTGGTTTAACTCCATATATCTGCCTTTGGCCTATATCCCTTAATACCTTTGCTTAACAAAAATTCACCTACGTTAGATTTAAAATTAATATCTGATCTAGAATCCACTGCCATCTGTGGAAGAGAGTTCGAAACATCTATCACCCATTATGTGTAGAAATGTTTCCTAATATCTCTCCTGAATGGTCTGGCCCTAATTCTCAGGCTATTTCTATTAGTTCTAGAATCCCCAAAAAGATTATCTTTATTTACCCTGTATCTTCCAGTTAATATCTTGGAGACTTTGATCAAATCATCCCTTAGCCTTCTAAATTTTAGAGAAAACAGCCTAGTAGTGTCACTAGATTTGTAATCCTGAACCCCAGGCTAATGTTCTGGGTTTGAATCCAACCAGCACAATCGTGAAATGTGAATTCAATTAAAATTTGGATTAGAAAATTAGATAAATGACAGCTATGTAATCGATATTGACCGTCATAAAAACAGTCAATGTGACCATAAGAACATAAGACATAGGAGCAGAAATTAGGCCATTCTGCCCATCGAGTCTGCTCTGCCATTCAATCATGGCTGATAAGTTTCTCAATCCCATTCTCCCTCTTTCTCCCCGTAACCCTTGATCCCCTTGACAATCAAGAACCTATCTATCTCCATCTTAACTATACTCAATGACCTGGCCTCCACAGCCTTCTGTGGCAGTGAATTCCATAGATTCACCACTGTCTGGCTGAAGAAGTTTCTCCTTATCTCCATTCTAAAAGATCTTGCCTTCACTCTAATGCTGTGCTGTCGGGTCATAGTCTCTCCTACCAATGGAAACATCTTCCCAACATCCACTCTGTCCAGGCCATTCAGTATTCTGTAAGTTTCAATTAGATACCCCCTCATCCTTCAAGTATAGACCCAGAGTCCTCAAACATTGCTCATGAGTTAAACTTTTCATTCCTGGGACCATTCTCATGAACCTCCTCTGAACCTGCTCCAGGGCCAATACATCTTTCCTGAGATATGGGGTCAAAACTGCACACAATATTCCAAATGTGGTCTGATCAGAGCCTCAGAAGTACATCTTTGCTTTTATATTCAAGTTCTTTCAAAATATACGCCAAAGTTGCATTTGCCTTCCTAACTAATGACTCAACCTGTAGGTTTACCTTGAGAGAATCCTGGACTAGAACTCCTAAGTCTCTTTGTAGTTCAGACTTCTGAATTTTCTCCCCATTTAGAAAATAGTTCATGCTCCTATTCTTCTTACCAAAGTGCATGACTTCACACTTTACCTCATTGTACTCCATCTGCCACTTCTTTGCCCATTCTCCTAACCTGTCCAAATCCTTCTGCAACCTCCCCGCATCCTCAATATTACCTGTCCCTCTACCTATCCTTGGTTCACTAATGTCCCTTAAGGAAGGAAATCTGCCATCCTTGCATGATCTGGCCCACATGTAACTCACAGCAATATGGCTGACTCTTGACTGTCCATGTGGGCTATAAATGCTGGCCCAGCCACTGACACCCACATGCTATAAACAAGTACAAAAAAATGTTGTGACCTACACTTTACAATTCTTGTTTGCTTTCTCTAATAAATGGAAAGATTCAAGTTGCTGACTTAACTCAATTAATCAGACAACTGATTTTATTCTACTTGCTCCACAAATACTAGATCAACATTAACAAATAGCCAAACTAAAGAGAACATTTCTAAATCAAATGAACTTTTGAAAATTATTGCTACAGCATCTGCAATGATCCAACTCGCTTCTTTTAAAAGACTTGGATTGAAGCTTCTGGTCTTGGGGATTTGTTAAATTGTATTATTTTATTATTATTAGTCATAGAGTTATAGAGCTCTGAAAAATGCCCTTCAGTCAAAAACAACTACCTAACTATTCTGATTCCATTTTCCAGCATTTGGCTAATAGCCTTGTATACCTTGGCAGTTCTCAGTCTTTCTTAAATGTTGTAAAAGTTTCTGCCTCTACCATTATTATGCCTCTAATTATTCCTGTTATTAATCTTCACTGCAAGACTATTGTAGGATCAAGAACAAATAATTCCTGCGAGCACTTTGCTTACTGCCGGTGAAGTCCAGGCCTCCAAAGCTGAACGTAAATGTCTTCTTCTCCGTGTTGGACTTCACACCTCTACAAACACCCTCTCCACCAAGCAGTGATGTCGCCTGCCAGTCATTATCATTGCAAAGCAGAACATCTGGATAACTCATTAGACCACAGAGCAAGGTACCTGAAAATAAACAGAGGTACACAAGTAAGTATCACTGATGCCCTCACTGCCCTCCTCAACTTCACACAATGCCTTGGCCAAATGACCAACAGTTGATGCCTGAAAGATAAGGCTAAAGAAAGGCCAACATGGATAGTATGTAGAAGTGTACACTTGAGGAATCACGTCTGTGACATTGTAACTTCAAATCATACCATTAGGAGTTTTAATTTTAACCCAGAAATGAAAATATATTGAAGTAAATACATGGAAACAGGCCATTCAGCCCAAACTAGCCTTATATTTCTGCTTGAAGGCATCTTTGAAAGTCAGAGATTACATGGATAGAAAATCGAAGTTTTATGCTTCAAATACAAGATAATTTAAAAGCTGTGATAATTACACTATGATAATTACACTACTGCAGATAGCATTTTTGGGAAGTAGTGCTATTGAAATTGCACGTGTGCTGTTATACATTAAGACTATTCATATTGAATTCTATTCAGCTGCATATTCCTTATTTAAATAATCACAACAAAGATTATTCCATTAATTTGTAGAGACTTCAACATGAAAGGAGACTATTAAGCTCATCATTACTGTACTAGCTTCTCAAAAGCTACTCAATTAATTTCAACTCCCCAATTCTTTCTTCATAGTCCGATAACATTTTCATTTTCAAGTATTTATCCAATTTCCTTTTGAAAGTTACAACTGAATCTGTTTCCCACAAGGTTTAAACAGCACATCACACAGTATAACAACTCTGCATAAAAAAAACCCAATTTTTTTTCTTGGATTATTTTCCAAACTGGAGGACAATATTTTCAGTTCCTTTGGTGCATTGATGGATAAAGTTGGGAATATCAGAAAACTGTCTGATAAATCTTTAATTATTTACAATAAAACCCAAGACTCAAGCCAAATCCAAATGCATAATGGCATAGCAATGTACACAAACACAGGAATTAAGAGTAGACCACTCAGCCCCTCAAGTCTGCTTTGCATGGCTGATCTGATAGTGACCATAAATCTATGTTCCCAATTACCTCCAATGTTACCTTAAAAATATTCAATTATTCTGCCTCCTCCTCTCTCTGTGAAAGAGAGTTCCAAGAACACATGATTCTCTGAGATAAATATTTTCTTGTTATCTGTCTTAAATAGAAGATCCCTTATTTTGAAACTTTTTACCTTTCATTCTAGTATCTCCCACAAGGAGAAATGTCCTTCCAGCGTCCAACCTTTACCTCCTCTTGGTATCTTCAATGTCTCAATAACATCACGTCTCATTTTTCTAAATTCCAATGGATACAGGTTCAGCCTGTCCAGCCCATTCTAATACGATAAACTACCACTTCCTAAAATTCCAGGTATCAGTCAAATGATCCTTCTTTGCACTGCTTCAAATGCATTAAGGAGACCATAGCAGTATACAAACCTCCATTTGTGGTTTCACAAGCATGCTGTACAACTTTGGAAAAAAAGCACTTCCTCTTATAAAACAAATAGAAACAGAAATTGCTGGAGAAATCCAACAGGTTTAGCAGCAGCTGTGGAAAGAAACCAAAATCAATGTTTCAGGTCCAGTGACCCTTCTTCTGATGACATGAATGTGAACAGGATTGTGAGTCATAAGGAGGCTTCAGGGTCATTTAGACAAGTTGAGTAAGTGGGCAAACACATGGCAGATGCAGAATTACATGGCTACAATGAGAAGTTCTATACTTTGGTGTGAAAAGCAGGAAGGAAGAGTACATTATAAACTGGTGACATATTGGGAAAAGTGAATATATGAAAGGTTTGGTGTCCTTGTACACCAGTTAATGAAAGTAGACAGACAGGAGCAGCAAATAATTAGGAAGCTAAATGATACACTGAAATTCATTGCAAGGGGAATTGAGTTCAGAAGTATGGATGTCTTACTGCAGTTACACAGGGTTATGGGCCTACCTGCCAAATTTCTCCCAAGTGTCTTCTCCCATCTGATATCTTTGAAAACTCCATGTGCGCTTTTCACAACTTACATTCCATATCTACCTTTGTTTTTACCAGCAAAGTTAGCAGATGTACATTTGGTTCCTTCATCCAAGTCATGAATATAAATTGTAAATAATTGAAGGCCAGTACTGATCACTATGACACACCACAAGTTACAAATTGCCAGCCCGAAAATGACTCATATATACCTACCCTCTGTTTTTGGTTAATCAACCAATCCCCAGTATTATGTAACTCCTACACATGAGGGCTTATTCTACTCAGTAATTTTTGATTTGGAACTTCATCAAATGCCTTTTAGAAATCTATATACAACACATCCATGCGTTCCCTTTTATTCATATTGCTTCTCATTTCCTCAAAATCTCGAGCCGTTCAGTCAATTTATTTTTCCTTTTCATGCAATCATGTTTTATGTATGGACTTCTAGTTTCAACCAGCACTATCTAGGAATGAAGGTTATTGGGCTGAAATATTAACTCTGTTTCTCTTGACACAAATGCTGCAAGACCTGCTAAGTATTTTAAACATTTACTGTTTGTAATTCACCTCGACATAGGCTGATTAGCCATCCATCTCATTACATTTTTGGGGTTTCTGTTGTACACAGATGGCTACCATATGATGCAAAAATGAATTGCCATAGTGCGTTGTATGAAAGATATAGAGATGTTCAGACAATACAGTAAGATGTTTTATACATTTAATATATGTCTTTTATTCAGTTAATTTCAATACAAAACTAAACTGAGAAAATCCTTTGCCTGTTTGAGATATGTTGTTTAAAAGGATAAACAGAAATTAATTGCTATTTCAAGAACTTTTCCCACAAATTTTATTGCAGTTGAATCACGCTCATACAACCATGACAAATTGCTTCCATGACCTGAGATCCAGGCACACTTTCCATAGTCCTTAAGCATGATGGTGCATAATTCTTTTTTTTTCTACAGTAAAAGACCTCAAATTATTCCTTTGTAGATCTATGTGCTGTGCAAAGCTCTCAAAAATATTGCAATATGGCAACAACTAATCTATCCCTTGAACTGATATGGAAATCCCTGTAACAGCGTGTTAACTGGCACATACCTCTCTGTTTTAAATGTATTGTACAATCTATACAGAGCTTACCCACTCCAGAAGCTTGCCTCTATAATATGTAGCACTCTCCAATGTAACAGAGTACACAGTGCAAAAGTGAGTTCCTATATAATGAATTACCCAGTGCAGGAGATCTCTTCTATGTAATGTGGCACCAGTCTATGTTATCTCTAGCACGTAAATTAGTATGCAGTATATAATCTGTTTCCCATATAATAAGTAATACTGTGCAGAGGATACCTTCTACATAACAGTGCCAATCTGGATATCTCCTGTATGTAAAATCATACTCATTACAGAAGCTATTTCTAATAAAATGCATTATTCCACACAGACACTCTCTTCTTTCAATGCAATGCACTTCACTAGTGATTGCACAAAGGAAATTGCATGGAAAGTTCTTTGATATATTTCTGAGAATTGTGATTAAGTCCCATATAAATACAATTCTTTCATTTTAAAGTTCTATTGTACCTTCATCAATGTTTATCTGGCTCAACATGAAGCCATCACAGCATTGCTCCTTGCCACAGGCCTGTCTGCAGAAATGATGTACATCTGTCAAACTTGAACCACGTGCAGAAAAAGCCACTGCCCGGTATACGCCTGTAATCACATTACGAAAATCTGTCTGCAGGAAGGTCTTGTGAAATGTTGTCGTGAATTCATGGCCTGGAGAAAATGAAGAACATACTTAGAACGATAGAACCTAATGGTGGAGCGAATGCATTTGGCACTCATTGATAAAATGGACATTGATTCTTTGAAAGCATTGTCCACTTAGTCCCACATGCTTTCATCTCAGCCCTAAAAAAATCCGCTTTCTAGTATTTATTTAATGCTCTTTTGAAAAGAATGATAATGAATCTGTTTACACCAGATTTTCAGATATTTAATTCCAGATCATAATGTAAAATTTACAGATTAGGTAAGATTATTGATACCTGTTCTCTCCATAATCTGTCAGAGAATTAAACTCTAAAAGAACTTAATCCTTTCCACATCAAGCAGATGTTCACCTGCACATCTGCTAATGTGGTATACTGCATCTGCTGTTCCCGTTGTGGCCTCCTCTACATCAGGGAAACCAAGCCTCCGGGACCGCTTTGCAGAACACCTATGCTCAGTTCTCACTAAACAACTGCACCTCCCAGTCGCGAACCATTTCAACTCCCCCTCCCATTCCTCAGACGACATGTCCATCCTGGGCCTCCTGCAGTGCCACAACGATGCCACCCAAGGTTGCAGGAACAGCAACTCATATTTCGCTTGGGAACCCTGCAGCCCAATGGTATCAATGTGGACTTCACAAGCTTCAAAATCTCCCCGCCCCCCACCGCATCCCTAAACCAGCCCAGCTCGTCCCCGCCTCCCTAACCTGTCCTTCCTCCCACCTATCCCCTCCTCCCACCTCAAGCCCCACCCCCATCTCCTACCTACTAACCTCATCCCGCCCTCTTGACCTGTCCGTCCTCCCTGGACTGACCTATCTCCTCCCTAACTCCCCGCCTACACTCACCTTTACTGGCTCCATCCCCGCCTCTTTGACCTGTCTGTCTCCTCTCCACCTATGTTCTCCTTTATCCATTTTCTATCTGCCACCTACCCTCTCTCCATATTTATTTCAGAACCCCCTTCCCCTCCCCCATTTCTGAAGAAGGGTCTAGGCCCGAAATGTCAGCCTTCCTGCTCCTCTGATGCTGCTAGGCCTGCTGTGTTCATCCAGCTCTACACCTTGTTATCTCAGATTCTCCAGCATCTGCAGTTCCTACTATCTCTGAAATAATACTTACCAGCTGATATAAGGGGAAATGATAGCCAGGAATATGATTCAAAACATATTTCCTTTGTTTTATTAAAAAAAGACAATATCACTGTTTAATGAAGATCCTCCATTTTTCTCTTGAGAGACACATGCCAAACAGTATGCTTCTTGGACAACTTCAGATTTGCTTCGGAACAAAGTTTATGCCCTAGATCTTTGAAAAGTTGAATACAAATGATGTAACAGTGTTTGTAACTTCTTCCAGTCAAATTTTTGCCATTCCTTTTTGAAATTTTGGTATAGGGCCCAAATGAAGGGAGCCTCGCCTTACCTCACCAATGGTGTCAGTACTACAGGTCGCTTTTTAATTGATTCTTTCATGGGACATGTCACGAGAGAATCACCCTAGTGATTCAATTGAAACACATGGCTTGCTTAGCCGATTCAGAGGACAGTTAAGAGTCAAACAGACTGCTGTGGATCTGGACTCACATGTAGGCCAAACCAGATAAGAGCAGTAAATTTCCTTCCCTTATAGGAATTTGTGAAGCATATGGGCCTTTACAAAAAGTGATAGTCTCGTGGTAACAATTACTGAGACCAGCTTAATATTCAATATTTTATTCATTGAATTTAAATTCTACCCTGAGGTTTGAACCAGCGCCCCAAGAGCATGATCCTAGCACAGTGACATTACCTCAGAAGGACAGGCAGGAAATATACAAAGGCTGAGCATCTATATTTAGATGGTTATGTGTCAATAACTCTTCTTTCCATCAGACCTTAAGACCATAAAATTTAGGAGCAGAATTAGGTGACACAGCCCATCAAGTTTGCTTCTATAGCCCGGCACCTCCCCCTGCTCCTCAACACTTCCTGTCCCCTCACCTATCTTTGTGTCATCTGAAAACTTAGCAAAAATACCCTCAGTTCCTTCGTTGGGATCATTAATAGTAGAACATGAATAGCTGTGGTCCCAAAACTGGCCCATGTGGAACTCCACTAGTCACCAGCTGCCATCCTGAAAAACACTGCTTCATCCTTACTCTCTGCCTTCTGCCAAACAGCCAACCCTTTATCCATTCCTGTATCTTGCCATTAAAACCATGTGTTTTTATCTTATTTAGCAGCCTTCTGTGTGGCACTTTGTCAAAGGTCTTCTGGAAATCCAAATAGGTCATATCAACTGGCTCTCCTTTGTCTAACTTGCTCACTACCTCCTTAAAGAATTCTATAAGATTTGTCAGGCATGACCTCATCTTGATGAAGCTGTGCTGACTCAGCCCTGTTTTAACCATACACTTCCAAGTAATCTGCAATCTCATCCTTAACAATGGACTTTACAATCTTATCAATGACCAAGGTCAGGCTAACCAGACTTATCGTATCCTATCCCTCTCCCTTCTTAAACAGATGTGTCACATTAGCCATTTTCCAGTCCTCTGGGCCCACACTGACTCCAGCGACTCTGGGCTATAGTCCATCAGGTCCGGAGATTTATCCACCCTCAGACCTTTCGGCTTCTTCAGCACCTTCTGGTATGCTCATGTCTCCCACTGTGAATATTGATGCAAAGTACCTATTCAATTCCTCCACCATTTCTTTATTCCCCGTCATTACTTCTTCAGCCTCATTTTCCAGTGGTCCAGAATCCACTCTCATGTTGCTCTCATCTTTTACATATGCGAAAAATTCTTGAAATCTTCTTTTAAATTACTGGCTTGATTGCTCTCATATTTCATGTCTGCAACCCCACCAAAAAAAAATGCCCATTTAGTTGTCTTCTGCTGGTTTTTAAAGGTTTGCCAATCCTCCGGCTTCCCACTAATCTTCACCACAATGTCTGCTTTTCCCTTTGCTTTTATGCTGTCCCTGACTTCCCATGTCAGCCTTGGTTGCCTCATCCTCCCCTTTATATGTTTCTTCTTCCTTGGGATGAATTTCTGCTGTGCCTCCTGGATTACTCCCAGAAATTCCTACCATTGCTGCTCCACAGTTTTTGTTGCTAGCTTCCCCTTCCAATCAACTCTGGCCAACTCCTGCCTCATGTCTTTGTTGTTAACATTACTTAATAGTAACACCATTACACCTGACTCGAGCTTCTTCCTCTCAAACTGCCGGGTGAATTCTATCATATTACGGTTACTGTCCTCTAGGGGTTCCTTCACCTTAAGCTCCCTAATTAAGTCTGCCTCATTACACACCACCAAATCCAGAATTGTCTGTTCCCTAGTGGGCTTTACCAAAAGCAGCTCCAAAAAAAATCTCATAAACATTCCAAAAATTCCTTTTTGTTATTCTTTGTGTTAAACATTTGCATCAGGGTGGTGCTTGTACTCTCCGTAAATTTTGTTTCCAAGACGAAGAAGGCTTAAAATAAGATGTACAATTTCTCAGGATAAGATTCTTTGTACTGTCCTTGAAACATTGTGAGTTATATTTTCACAAACTGTTGCATTCGACACCCTGCATTGCTACAATTATGATGAACGTTGCAGTGGTTGGTATAGCTTTTGATTGCATCATCCATGGCTCATTTCTAAATAACTTAACAGCATTTCGTGGTATAATCAAAGACGTGACAACAAAATTACTCAATACATCATTTTTAGCATACTGTTATCAGATTTGGTAAGAAACCAAGTTCAAAAATTTCTCTGTGGACAAATTAGCCAGCACAGTTTGGCTGCAAAATGGGTCTCCATAACAATTCTGGTACTATGGGTGAAATCTACTCTCTCATGTTCAAGTCCCTCCATGGCCTCACCACTCTCTTGAGCCTTCCAAAACCCAGTCCCCAGTCCACATCTCTTGTATTTGGTCACTTGCCTCAGCTCAGCAATAATGACTTCAGCCTTCTAATGTCTAAGGTCTGGAATTCTTTTTTGAATGCTATTCTCCTCTCCACCAGTTCATTCTTCCTTAAAATTTACCTCCTTAACCAAGTGTTTCATAACAGAGCCTAACATTTCCCACGTTAGGTCAGTATCAATTTTTGACCGATTGCAATACTTTTATTAGACTAAAGGTGCTACGAAAATGAAAGTTATGAGCATTTTTCCCCAAGATCTTAATACTGGAGTTCCTTGTCTCCCTGATTTCTCTAACTCCTATGAAACTTGTTGTTTCACAGTCACCGCTACTTGCTGTGCGTTATGCTCTCACTTAAAATATTACCACTGGGTAGCATCCAGCACTGTGTGTCATAGTGTTGAAGGTAGGTTACTGTTTAAATAACAGCTTCTTGCAAATACATTATCCTTTGCCAAAACTAATCAGACAATAAAAAGGCCACTTCAGTTAGCTTCGGGTTTCATTTTGACTCTGTCCACATTCTGTTATTAGTGTAAACATTCCCAACATAACCACAGAAACGTTGCTTCCACTCTGTTTCCTGACAAGAATGTGTTTGCTTGTTTGAAGTTACCATCAAGAATGTAAATGTTCCTAACTAGGAATGTCAATGCTAAGAAGTATTTCCCATGTTTCAAGCGCAAGTTGTACCTTTCTCATTATTCTAAGCACTCATGCACAAAGAACAGAAACAAGTTTTTTTTATAACTACTTCGGACAAACAACTAGACTGTTGCCAAGCAACCAAGAGATAGAAAGTTGTCCATATTTACATGTGAGTCACATGCTCACCACAGAGGTTCACAGCATCAGAAAGTTCAAAGGAAAAGGAGTAAGGGAGAAAACATCAAAAAGACGCAGAATCCTTCCTCATAATAAATAAAACCTGACTGTTGAAGGCATATTGTGATTTAGCAAGATCAAGGAGTGCAGAAAAGAAGTTACTGTTGGTGAAATTAAAGGTTAAGTTAGGCAGCCTGATTAATTGACACCCAATCCACCACCCTCAACATTCATTCTCCCCATCACCGATACACAGTGGCAGCAGTGAGTGCTATCTACAAGATGCATTTCAGCAGCTTACCAAGTCTTCCTCAACCAACCAGTGAGGCATTAAATATCTCTGTCAGGGCCCCAGTATTCTCCTCCCTTGCCTCCATAGCACCCTGGGATACATCTCATCAGGTCCCAGGGATTTGTGCACCTGTATGTCTACTAAAACATATAATACCTCCTTCTTAGTAATCTTATCATATTCTAGAACCTCAGCATCCCAACTGAAACCTCCGGCTACAATGTCTTTCTCCTCTGTGAATACAGATGAGAAGTATCTTTTGAAGATCTAACCCATGCCCACTTGCTCCAGGCACAGGTTGCCTCTTTAGTCCCTAATAAGTCCCACTGTTTACCTGCTCATCCTCTTACTCTTAATATACTTATAAAAAGCCTTGATCCCATCTGCCAAAATATTTTGTGGCCCATATTTGCCCTCCTAATTTTCTTATTAAGCAACCTCCTATACTCTTTCTGGTTTGAAGGGCCACCCCACATCTTAATGTGCTGCACTCGATGTATGTTTCCTACTTTGCTGCAGAATTACAATGAAAGTCGGCTTTGTAGCTTGAAGCTATTCAAGGTCAATCCCATGAGCTCATGCAATAAAATCTGCACACATCTACAGATGGCCCATTTCCATAGAATTCACATAACACTCACCCTTCTTCCTGTAGACGCTCAGATTTCCATCACTGTTACTGCTGATCCTGAGTTGACAACTAATCCCATCATATCTGGCTGTGGATGAACTCCCCAGAAATCCTTGATTCTATAAGTAGAATGATGGATTAATAAACAGCTAGCAAACTGATTTATGAACAGGATATCAGACAGTCGTCAATGAGTAATATGGATGATAATAGATGGCTGTAAGTATGAAGAACTGTAAACTGTCTCTGGGATACTTGTGCTGTCCAATACTTCAATACTAAGTTTCTCCTCATATTAAATTCCTCCTTGTGTTGTCCTTCCCTATCTCTGTAGATTAATTTGGTCTCCCAATCTTCTGAGAATCTGCTTTCAGTGATTTTTGTGGATACCCTACTTCATTCAAGTTAGTATTTCTGGCCAAGCTTCTGGCCACTCACAGTCATCCAACAAGCAACTGACAAGGGCTTTATACTGAAATCTTTCAAACTAAGAGCCATCAAGGGCATCAACTGCAGAGCACCCAAGTGGAGATTCAACCCTAAAGGTCCAACCAAACAAGATGCATTCCATAGAAAAGAGAAATTCTTGGAACATTCAGAACATACAAAGAATAACTTTCCAATGAATATGGTCAAGGGGAGAGAATGCTAGACAGATTTATCCTGAACATTTGTGGTCAGGCAGTGCTGTAGGCCACTATCTCCACAGCCCAGATGACAATCTCCATGATTTCTTCATGATTTTGTTGAAATGACACTATGTGATTAAGCCACTCATAAAGTGAATGATCAGTCTCTTAGTTTATTCAGGCGTAATTTTGGACAATCCTTTTTACTTCCATCTCCAATGTTCATCTCCCATTTCTTATTTTAATTCTCCCTCATATTCTCCCTCATAAAAATCGTTAGACAGCACCTTCAAAACCCCCGACCACTTCCATCTAGAAGGACACAAGCACCAGATACATGAGAACAGCATCACTTGCAAGTTCCTCTCCAAGTTACTCACCATCCTGGCTTGGAATATATCACTATTCCTTCATTGTTGCTTAGTCAAAATCCTGGAATTCCCTTCCTAATGGCACTGTAGGTCTACCGACAGCACATGGTCTGCAGCAGTTCAAGACCATAGCTCTCCAACATCTTCTCAATGGCAACTAGAGATGGACAATAACTGCTGGCCAGCTAGCAGTACTTACATCCCATGAATGAATAAAGATAATTGTTCTTGAAATATGGAACTATTCATGCTTTTTTTTATATAGAATCTATATGTTTCCTTTCTCCTGTAATTTAATATTTTTCTTAAAACCAAGCTGAAAAGTCTTCTAAACAAAACTTGGTTAGTCATGTGCTCTTTCCTCCCACTTCACAATTTGGTTTTGTTTTGCACTATTGACATCGAAAGAGCAGGGAAATGACATTAGCTGACTTGCTGTGAAGGTCCAGCACAGACACACAGGGCTGAATGGCATCCTTATGAGCTGTGACAATTCAATCATTCCATGATCTTTTGAATCCATTTAAAAACGGAGAGAAGGGCTTTGAGGGAATTGAATATGACCTGCACAAGTTCTGAAGAAGTACCTGTATAGTGGGATTCACTATGTTGGCCTTTTTCTTGGTTGTGCTTTCTGATGATTCTCAATATGACAAGCATATGAGTGTCACACAGGATTTTCAGCAAAAATATCAATAATTCAGACATAAGTCCAAATCATCTCCCCTACCTGTCCAAAGGTTTTGCAGAGCAAGTTGGATTCCGAGGTACTGTAAAGCTCACAATGGAAAACCTCCCCTTTGTGGTATAATGCCAGAAAGTTACATATCTCACTTCCAGAGCATTCTGCAAAGAGAAAGATGATGGCTTTTGATAAGCGTGACTTTGTGATTTATCTCAAGCATGAGTATAAATATCTTAACAGGAAAACCATACAGGAAACAATGAGACCCATTTATTTAACTGTGTGTTTTCAGCACCTGCACCCACCCCTTCCCCAAAGCCGTTGAACAGTCCAGAGTAAGTACGCCATTGGGTTTAAACATGATTCTGTCTCTTGTACAATTCAAAAGAAAATTAAAAGCTAGCTTATGGAATAAGAAAGGCTCTCATCTCTGCGGATTGTTATAGTCTTGGGTAACCAGAGTTTGCAGATTGTCAAAAAAAATCAAAGATTAGAATACTAGTAAACAACAAGGTATTATGGTCTAGGACGCAGAGCCTGAAAGGATACCGGAAGCCAGATTCAATGCTAATGTTCAAATGGGGATTTAAAATTCACTTGATCAGATAAATACAAAGGAGTCAACTAGGGTAAATACAGACAAGTACTTAAAAATACAAAGGAGTTAGTTAGAGTAAATACAGACAAGTTATTTCTGTTTGTGAAGAGCCCAAAACTAAGTGATATAAATAGCCACTTGATGATGCAGATCTTAAGTATTGGTGATAAAAGATAGGTTTTCGTGACATATAAACAACATTTATACGGTATAAGGAAAGAACGCTGGTTGGTTGACAAGTGGTGGTTTACTGATTGTGGTACCATCATGGAGAATGCACTAGTTAACGATGACTGCCAGTTAACTGCCAAACTTTGTTTACATTTTTAAACAACGCACATTGACTCTGATTAGTCAAAGCATTGCCCTGACAAATGAACCAGAGAACTGCTGGCAACAATTTTGTCGCATTGAAATAGGTACAATGGGTATACATGTTCTTTCTGTTTCAAACAACCAGGACTTATATATTAATATGTAGCTTCCAGTACATCTTGGTACAACTTGTGAATTGTCCTAATGAGTGCAAGAAAAAAAGCTTTGAGAAAATATCATTTTTCTGTAGTATTCATATTATAAATATTAAATAGTCACTTATAAATCTAATTAGAGATTAACTGGGATTAATGGAATAGCTCTTTCAAACAGCAGGCACAGACAGAGTGGGCTGATTTGCCTCCTCTGTACTTCATAATTGCATAGCTGCAGTTTTCCTTATTTTCTGATTAAGTGTGGGGTGGGTGCGTTAAGTGTTGACTAAGTTGATACCTCTACTGCCAAGAAAGCTTGTGGATCATGCACCAATAGGCTTGTTAAGAGATGGTTGGGGAGCACTAACAAGCTTCTTAGTGAATTATAGCTTCGATGATGGTGTCCCAGTTCCCCAGAAACCGCCTGCCTCCAATTGTAATCCTACAGACAGCAAGTGACAGTTTACGTTTCAGGGGATCCACCAGATAGAAGGTAGGACTTTTGCTTTTGCTTCTTGTGGAATGGTTTCATGGAGAGGAGCAGATCAAGGATGTTGGTGGTTAGAGCATGGGGCAGCCTTTGGGAGATCCCCCCAATTTGTGTCTCTAATTGCCCTCCAGTTGGAACAAATGGAGGCCCCGTCCATCAATCTGTCAGGCAGGGCCACCATTGTTACCCATTCTTGAAACCAGTCACATTTGTTGTCTGGCGCAAAGCCACGTCTTCAGAGAGGTGGTAAGCTGAGGCTCTGAAGTGTCCACCAATTGATCACTTCAAGGTTGCAAGTTGAGTAACTCCCAAAGTCACCTTGGATGCCTTGCATCACCTCCAATGGGCTTTTCAGGTCAACAAATCAATTGGACAACACTGGTGGTGGTTACATGAAAGAAAAAAAAACACAGGTAATTTGGTAACAGAAAATAAAACCATTCAGTTATGTGTAAGAGTTTCTTGATATAAAAACGTGTCCCCAAGTCCCACCCTACACATTAGTAGGGTGGCAAGAAGAGGGCAGATAGCTCTGCCAGGCCAAATCACCCAATTATTTTCCCATTTCACCACTTGTCAATGTCTCTTGGAAGGAAAAAATTGCACTCTTTGAGATTTTGGTTGAAACTGAATTTCAAAGAATGAGTCTAAGAAATAATAAGTGGAATAGAAAGTGAAACTGTCACATTGATGTATAGAAGGTGGTTTTCAGATGTTGTCTTCTGACAAAATTTACTTGGACTCATACATTGTATTACCACAAAGAATCTGTACATCAGAACCTACAGAGTGCAATCCCTAAGGCATTTACTGGTCACACTGCTCCTCTGAAATGAAGAAAGACAACGTAAAGTTCATTTACCTCACTTGTCTGGCTTTTCCTTGGGCTGAACTTTACCACCTCCCACTGGGCATATTTTTGGCAGCATTGCAAAGAAAATATGTGGATGACTAGCCTGATGCTGCCACTGCCATTTCCATAAAATGGAATCAATATCCTGACAGGGGATTTGCTAGGTAGCTACTTGGGATGGATTAAATTCATCTGACAGAAGAGGTGTGTGGGACTCTAAACATTAGTGAGACAAAGGAGAAGGTTAAAGCTAGTACAGAAGTTAAAGAGAGCAAGTTAAATAGATAAGACAGGCAGGAGCATGGCAGGAAATGAGGGAAGGCTGATGAATTAAACTGAACCTATTTCAATAGAAGAGGCCTGACAGGTAAGGCAGATGATCTCAGGGCATGGATGGAAACATGGGATTGGGATAGCACAGCTATTATAAAAACATGGCTGGGGGAGGGACTGGAACTTGGGCGACTGTGTGGAGTTTGCACATTCTCCCCGTGTCTGTCTGGGTTTCCTCTGGGTGCTCCAGTTTCCTCCCACAGTCCAAAGATGTGCAAGTTAGGTGGATTGGCCATGCTAAATTGTTTGAAGGGATAAGGGCCAATACAGGCAATGGGACTAATTCAGATGAGTTGAGCTGCAGGGCCTGTTTCCGTGCTGTATGAATGTAAGACTCTATAAAATAGGCAAGCAAGCACCATTATCAGCAACTCGCCTACAATTATTAAAACAGTTCATTCACAGTTAATTGATTTCATTAACAAGCCAATTTACCTGAATATTTCTATGTCCATGCCAATGACATCATTGCTGTTGGCAGTCAAGATGGAGTAGTGTGGCCATTTTCTCAAAACAGCCTGATTAAAGGGTGGTAAGAAAGTAAATATTGATCATGGGCTCTGAAAGTTGAGGCTAACCTTGGAAATGCCAACTAGCATTCTACAGTGAAGCTATTAAATGGGAAGAGGAATCAAAATGGACATAGCACAGGTCAACACGAAGATTCAAAAGCAAAGCTGCCTCAGAACAACACATGAGATATTCAGGGACAGTCGAGGCATGTTCCAACAAGGGAGAAAGAGACTGCCGCCAAATCCAGAGTGCCCTGGATGATTGAAACATATTTAATTAACTTGAATGAGTTTTTTGATAAGCTAACAGAGATGATTGCTTCTGGTACTATTGTTGATATTGTGCTAAAGAAATTCCAAAAGGTTTTTGATAAAGTGTAAAATAATAGCACAGCAGCAAGGGAGAAGACCATGGTATAAAAGGGAAGGTGATACCATGGATACAATGTTGATTGACAGGGAACGGACCAGTGGAGAACAGGGAAAGAGCAGGGGGTGTGGTTAGCTGAGATGTCTCTACTGACCACCAGCACAGACATAACAGGGTAAATTGTTGCCTTCTGTACTGTAACTAATGTAAAATTCTTGTGAATGAAACAATGAAGCAATCAGAGCAAGCTTGATGTATCTGACCTGTGAGACAAGCTAGAAGCTGCCTCTGACGATCAGCGGGCGCTGGCAAAACTTTGCTGATGTCTGTGCCTTCGGAGTTCAGAATCAGCTGGGATTCATCGACGCTGTCAAATTGTCGGAACACTTCAGGTGGAAAAATTAAAAAAAACTTTGTTTAAGAAATATAAGAATCCATGTAATGAGCAAAAGTTAGTCCCCCTGACAATTGATATTTGTCTTACTCTCTCCTTGGCTATCCAGATTGCGTGTACTGAAAGGAATCAAAAGGCAGTCTATGGAATATGCCAATTAATGGAGAGTTTCTAAATACTGACTTTACGCAATAGCACACAGATGTATGAAGACAAGTAAAATACAAATGAAAACAAAGCTTTATGAATTATGTTTTTAAGAGGCCACACATGTAGTTTTTCTTCCTCTTTATGCCCCTTGATCAGTTTTATCTTCATCTTACTACAGACACTGGTACTTTCCTATTCCTACTACAAATTATTTCTATCATGTCATCTATTGATACCATTAACCCTCAGAGGTTATCTTGCAAAATTTCAAATTATCCACTCATCCTGAAATCTTCACTAATCCACCCCTGGACCATGTCCATCAAAACCAACAGCCTGCCCACTCAGCACTAATCTATCCTGTGCGAGGTTTAGACTTCTGATTCCATTCAAAGATATTTGTTCAGTATCATTTATCTTCCTGTTAATGTGCTTTCCTGACTGAAAATAGCCAATTGCCTGGGACCTCACTTCCTGCTCATGGGTGACCATGGGTAAGAATTCCTGAATCATTATGGTTCCAGATGGAATACCCCAAGCTGTCAATCTCCTGGGTGAGAGGGATGAACTGGCTTCCTGTTTTATTCACCCACCCCCTCAATTAGTTGCAAAACCTCAGCCAGTGTGGTGGCGTCCCTGGACCCTCTCTGACCCTCAAGGTGCATTGTTATTGGGAAGGGTTTGAAGTTATTGACTTCCATAAGGAAGATTATTTCATGGAGGTTTTCACCATGACTTCTGTCTTAAGTGCCCTGACCAGCTGGTGATATGCAAGCTGGTTAAGACTTAAATTTCAGGTACATCTGAACAGGCTGCTTCCTGAGGGCATGGAAATTTTGATGGTCTGCCTTCAGCCTTAAATGGTGTGCACAAAAGATGATCTTTTTGTACTGCCTTGCGATCAGTGGCACTTCACTCAGGCAAGAGAAAGTAAACTGCATGTGCTTTCCCTGAAGGTTTACTCTGCAGGATATGGTCCAGTGTTGGACTTATCACTTCAACTGCTGTGCAGTCTATTCAAAAATGATAGAGAAAGCTTCCATCTCTGCCTGCTGAAACTTAGGAATTAAACAAGCTGCTTCCGCCCTTAAGTCTGAGTCAGTGGTGTCTTCTCAATTCAAGCGGCCTTAGCTCAAACCCCTTTTCCTACCCTTTTTATCCTGAAATTCTGTCTCACATCTCTCGTTGGTCATACTTTTCTTTTCCAATACTTGCTCTCACTTTCTTCTTCACTCTTACACTTTCTCTTCACTCTCCTTCTCTCTTTTTCATCTCCCTTTGCCCTCCTTTCCCATTTTAGTGAAATTCTAATTTCTCTTGCTCCAATTTTAATCTCTCTACTGCTACACTTACCATTTCATCAGTATTAATTTGTGCCTGTAAACTGATGGCTGCTTTTTTAAAATTTCTGGCTTTCTGACTAATGGATTTCTAATCTCAAGTGCCTTGCTAAATTTTTTAACTGTTTGTGAGGCAAAAATTTAAATCTTCAAAAGTAACTTCCTTAATTCTGCTAGGAATGCACTGGCATCAAGCACAGACATCTTTATCCTGTAACAGTGTAAACTCAAGAAAGTTTTTGCAGTTTTTCTTAAATTGGTTTCAAAGTGACTATTTACCTATTTTAATACTTCCATTTCATCTGTTGGTTCAAATAGTAGCCACAAGCTCCCAATTTGTTGTGGCCAAATACCGATGAGACCCAATCTGCCCTGACCAGATCCCAAATGTGGTTCCCCAAGCTATCACGGTTCCAGACAGAATAATCTCAAGTTATCAAACTTCTGGGTGAGAAGAGATGAACAGGCTCCCTTTCTTTATTCACTCACCCCTTTAGTTAGTCGTAACAAGTTTAATTTGAAAAAGAATCCTTCCCTTATGGAACCTTTCTCCAATACCCAAACGAATTTATGTTTTAAAAGCAGTCAATACAACCAGGTTTTCCTCAATTAACAGAAGAGTATGTTTATTTGATACAAAGCACAAGAAGAAATATTCATGTAACACACATAGCCGCAGACTAGAAGTGAGTTCTAAAAAGGATAACACTTGGAAGATATATGGTTCAGTCTCTGTTAGTTGAATTTCTTTTGCACTGTTTCCTTTTTACAGAGGTTGGTTGGCAGCAGTCAGAGTGAGGAAATCTTTCCTTTAACCTGCTTCCATTTGACTGGTGTGGTGGCTACCTGTCTTAACACTCAGAGCAATATTATATTTTATCTGCAATGCCGGGGTGTCTAGTGTGTCAGCTCACTGGCATACACATGTACCTCATCTGACACCATCTTCCACTGGCACAACTTAACCCACTGACAAACCAAGACCAGACCTGACCTGGCATTTTTTTAAATACCTCTGCTCTCGAGTATTCATGAAAGGAGAAGACACAAAACATGTCTCTCACTCACACAGCTGTCTTTTCTTCCTGTGCACAGTTTGTGATAATTCCCAGGAGGTTGTAGTCAGTCTTACTGCACTTTCTCCCATTTTACTCCATCCCTTTTGAACCTTTCTTGACACCTCATTAGGTGTGACATTCCAGAGTCTGTCTTTCACCAGACAGCCAATGAATTGACATCCACAGTCAGCTTTTGAATGGATGTCCTTTTTTAAATAAAAATAGAATACATATTACAATTAAAGTTGGTGATCCAGGGACATATGATCCGTGGCCATGACAACATTATAGCTCTACAAGTTGCCGAATAATGTCAATAGCAGCTCTTTCATGTAGAGTTGCATAAAAAAAGATACAGTAGGGATTGAACGTGTTGAATCACAGTGGCTCAGTGGTTAGCACCGCTGCCTCACAGCACCAAGGACCCAGGTTCAATTCCAACTTCCAGTGTGTGGACTTTGCACAATCTTCCTGTGTCTGAGTGAGTTTCCTCTGGGTGCTCTGGTTTCCTCAGAAAAATATGCAGGTTAGGCGGATTGGCCAAGCTAAATTGTCCAAAGTGTGCAGGCTAGGTGGATTAGACATGGGAAATGTAGGATTATAAGGATAGGTTAGGTGGTGGGTCCGATTGGGATGCATTCAGAGGGTCTATGACTCGATGGGCCAAATGGCCTACTTCCACACTGTAGGGGTTCTATCATTCTATGAAATCAATAATGTGAACATGTAAACTATGCCTTAGATTGACTATGGTAGGTTAGGTTCAGGATCTGTTTTGTTTCCAGCTCTTTAAAATATATTGCTAAAACCTCCAAACTGAGTAGGAGCTGAGAGGAAGAACACCGGAAAAGAAATCACTCCACTATGTTTCATGTAGTTGTTCACTTGACTCATTCAATCTGGGTGGTGGGTACAGTCACAAGGGGAAATCCTGGTCACAAAAACAGTAGCAGTTAGGAAGCTTGAACTAACAAAGTTTGGGATTATGACTGACAATGGGGCTTAATGTTCATTCAAACTCCAGTAAGCACACCCTTTAATAAAATTTCGCTGTAACAAGCAAAAAAGAATTCAAATAATCTGAAGCACATTTACTCACCAATACAATCAGACTCAGCGAGAGGGCTGGTGGTTTCGGTCCAAGGTAATCGCTTTCCATTCGAAGTAACGCAGAAAGATTTCTGAGTGTCAGCGTCTTGCTGAGTTGCTCTATACTGTCCTAGTGGGTCACAAGTTGGATTCCAGGGACTGGTTTCACAATCTGTTAAACCTGTTAGGGTCACATAGGTAAATGCATGGCGTATCTGGGAATTTATCAACAGAGCAAAATATCTTACTTGCAAATTGTTATGTTTCCCTAATGGTGGGAGGGTAGCAAGAGGACTCCATTCTCTTCCTCATTGATGCTAAAGCCTGGTTTTGATGATGGATGAGGCTCACTTTGGACACCAGCAGGAGCCTTGTTAGCAAAAACAAACTGAGGCTTTGTAACTGATGGCAGTTTAACCTGTTCTTGAACAAAACATTCACCTTGGCCATGCTGTTTGGTAACATTGGTAACATTATCAGCAAGTCAGTGAAACAAAATAAAAATCTATAGGGCGCAGACAACCAGGAGCAACAAGGATAGTTTGTGGCCCTCTGTTCCCTGGAAGTTACTATCGTTCCCCCTTCCTCTAAACTGCAGGATCCTCCTCCCAGAAATAGCTTCCTGCTTGGGCTTCTCCCAGCACTTCCACCAGTCACCATCTTCCACTGGAAATGATCAAACGGCTACTGGGGAGAGGGACATATTAAAATGAGGCTATGCTGTTAGCATCTGCCAGGCATCCGACTCAAAGTCAATGCATGGGATTGATATTATTCCCGGTGGGAGTTAAAATCAGGTCTTTTGTCATATTAGGAAACTTTGAGGTGAAATCACTGATGTTTCTTGGCATTGTCAATCAGAATGGACCATTTATTGTGGCAAAGGGTAGAAATGCAAAGAGATTAACAATTGATAGGGTAGTGATAAGAATAGAATTGAGTTTATAAAGTATTGGATTTGCAAAATGAGAATCAATTTTCCTCTATCAGTGGATTCAAGGAGCAGTTAGACATGGTGTGAAGTGTTAAGAGATTTAGGGACATAAAAGAGAAAGTGATGAACACAGGAACAGGGTCCTTTAGTCCACAAGCCTGCTACACTATTTAATGAAATTATAGCTAACCCATGGCCTAACTCCACGCACAAGCCAGTGCCCGAATCATTTAATATCCTGGGCAAACAAAAATCGACAAATTTCAGTTTTAAATGCAACTATTAATCCTGCATCAATTGATATTTGTGGACAGCAAAGTTCCTAGGGGAGGTACTAGAAGGAACTCAGGGATTTTTTGTAAAGGAAATTCAAAACGAATCTTTGCGTTTTGGAGGACAGTTAAAAAAAAGTCAGTGTGCAAAAAAATAAATCAAAGAGTCTACAATAGTTGGATGATATATGCTGATCATTCCACAATTTCATAGCTAAGATCAACTACTATTCCAGGAATTCATTACCACTGTTCTGTGATGGCAATAGAAGACAGTCTATATACTCCCTGTGTGGCCAAAAAGCAAAACATCAGATGACTGGATCCTGCTTCCAAATCTTAATTCATTAGCAACTGTAATCACTGCTATTCCTGCAAACCCTGTCGTCCCAGGTTTGTCAACAATGAAGTTTGAGAAACATCAATCAAGCGACTCAATCATATAAATTATTCATAATATATGACGGCACAGTTATTGTTTAACCAAACCCATGACCACAGATGCCCTGGTCATTGATCACTGCTGTTTGATATATAAACAAGGTACAGTACTGTGTTTGCTAATATTATAGCAGTGACTATGCTTCAAAAGTATGTGAAGTATTGAGGAACAAGAGAATGTGAAAGACTCCATGTGAAAGTCTGTTGTTTCATTGATTTCTTTCTTTGCCAGATATTTTTAGTGAAATAGTTTGTGGTCACAAAATGTGCCAGGAGGCTGGAAGTGTGTGTGTGTGTGCGCATGCGCGCGCGTGCGTGTGTGTATGTGTGCACGCGGGAAATGTGCTGTGAAGCAAGGATGGTTGAGGGAGAAATCAGGAGCTATCAATGTGACAGAGTTCTGAAGAAGATTTGCATTGGACCTGCAACATTAATTCTATTACTCTCTCCACAGATGCTGCCAGACCTGTTGAGTTTCTCCAACAGTTTCTGTTTTGATTACATTAGTGGACAGGGAGGTTGACAACAACTGTTCTGAGGAGGAGAGATCAGATGATGAAGCAGCAGAGAGGTCAGAGATAAACGCTAAAAGACAGAGAACTAGAAAAGCATAAAAATATGCATTATGGATTTAAATATGATACTTACACAGGTGGGCTGAGAAAGCTCCAGGAGACACTGTCTTTTTTCCTTCTGGACATTTTCTACACTTTACCTTTCCGGCAGCCTCCTGGTAAAATCCACGTGGGCACAGGATGCAGGTGCCACCCTGAGAAAAACTGCCAGCTGGGCACACAACTGTAAAAGGAAAGGACCATAATTATTAATCTATTTCCATAACAAAAAAAAAGCAAATTGGCTTTGATATCAAACAATAAAACAACATTAAATTAATGACAGAATTAGTGTAGAGCAAACAGCAGGCCAATTAGCCTGTTGCGTCTGAAAATCATTTAAATCATTGAAAATTATTTAAAGGTAAAATATAACAATCAGCAGGCAGCACAATTAAAAAGGAGCAATCAGCACAATTTCATGCTTGTCCAAAATCATTGAATCCTGAAGTAACAGAAAGACTAGATAAGCGTAATACAGTACAGTTGACTTCAAAATATACATTAATATTAACGTCATGATTAAGGCCAGAGCATATTGAATCAGAAGACAGGTGACAGAACGCATAGTAAGCTAATTACAAAGCAAGGAATCAAGAGTGCGCATTAAGAGCAGCTACACAAACTGGCAAAAGAAAATAGAATTAGGGATCAGTGGTGAGATCATTGTTTTTCACCAGTTACGTTAACAATTTGCACTCAGAAATCAAAATATTTCAAATTCACAAATAACGTCAGTTTTGAATGGCAGGTGGTGGTAGATGTAGTTTACAAAAAAAAAGTGGTAAAGTGTCAAGAAGACTTTGATAAACCTACAAAATTAGCGTATAATTAGCAATTATTCACAGTTTAATTAATTACAAGGTGTTTCATTTTGATGAGATTAAAAAGGCTCCACATGGCTTACATAATCAGACTCTAAATGGAGCAGAGGGTATGGAGCTATATATTCATAGATCTTTTAAAACGAGTGATTCAGATTAATAAAGCCATCAAAAAGTAGAAACTAAACACTGGGATTAATTCAAAGGTGAATAAAAGTCTCACACAGGAGAAGTTATTTTAAATTTGAAATGAAATTTGGTTTATCCACATTTGCCACACTATGCACAATTCAAGTCTCCACATTATAAAAGAGTATGCAGATACCAGAGAAGCTGCCAAATTTAATAACAAGGTGATACGACCTTGAAAGGATGGTTAACAGGAAAAGCTGAATGAGCTTTTGTCTCGAGAAAAAAAGAAGATTGAGTGGTCACTTGAGATTTTAAGATTGTGGGTGGAATTTAATGCTCTCCCCTGTTGCAGGCTTGGCGGCAGTGGTAGAATTCATTAGGGTGGGAGAATGGTATGTAGGGATCCTGTTAACTCTATGCCTCCACACAGATTAAAGGTGGGATTGAGCATGTAAGGAATTCAACCTGCCACCACTATCCAGTAGCCCTGAGCAGGGGCTTACCATGTGGAAAGCATAAGGAGCAAACCCACCTGGGACTGCTTGCAGATTCCCCATGTGGGGAAGGAGGGTAATTCTCTCATTTCCAGGCACTTAATTCCTAACCAAGGGACCCTGCATCAGTAAGGGGGTGCCTGCTGAGGGCCAACCTATGCCCTTAGTGCCAACCCATATCTCTCCTTGCAACCCACACCCCCAACAAGAATCCCCCACTCTTGACTCCTGCCATCATTCACTGTAGGGCCTGGCATCCAGCAGCAATAGTAGATTTTGGATGGATATCATCCCATCAGCAGCCACTGACTCATTGGCTGGCAGGACTTCGGATATGGGGCTTCTACCCTAGGAGTGACTGATCCTGGAGAAGGACTGCCACTCTCCAATTAAGTGCCTGAGTTGCACTAAATATGGTGGTCTGTCCCTAAAAGAAGGACATGGGGCTCCGGCTCGCTCTACATGTAGCAGTCATAAGCCCTGTCACCACCATTAAAAGCCAACTAATGAAACAATTTGCTAGAGTATCCATGCAGAAAATACTTCCAATTGCAAAAGAGTTCAAAACTAAAGCCTATAATTATAAATTACGCATTAATAAATCTTCAGGAAACTTCAGGAAACCTCTTCATCAAAGGAGTGGTAAGAATGTGCTACTACAAGGACTAGTCGACATAAATAGCAAAGATGAAGGGATCGAGATAAATACATGAGAGTAAAAGGAATAGAAGAAGTTGCCAATAGAGTTGAATAAAGAACGGTTTCTGGTGTGGACTGGCTGTCAGTTCTGAAATTGCATAGACCAGTTGGATCAAGTGGTCTGAATTCTGCATTGTTGATGCAACTCAGTGTTGTTTGCTCTGGGTGCTCCTTTTATTCAAACATTTCTGTTGAATATCTCCATACTCTGAGGGTGCGTGCTCCAAAGGTGACATGTAAGACCTGCTCGTCCTGTCACTTTTTTTCATTTATCGCCACTTTGGTATTCCTACAGACAAAGGGGGTAGCCATGGGTACCCGCATGGGCCCAAGCTACGCCTGCCTCTTTGTAGGTGACGTGGAACAATCCCTCTTCCGTACCTACACCGGCCCTAAACCCCACCTCTTCCTCCGTTACATTGATGACTGTATCGGCGCCGCCTCGTGCTCCCACGAGGAGCTCGAACAGTTCATACACTTCACTAACACCTTCCACCCCAACCTTAAGTTTACCTGGACCATCTCTAACACCTCTCTCCCCTTCCTGGACCTCTCTGTCTCCATATCGGGCAACCACCTAGAAACCGATATTCATTTCAAGCCCACCGACTCCCACAGCTACCTAGAATACTCCTCCTCCCACCCACCTTCCTGCAAAAATGCTATCCCCTATTCCCAATTCCTTCGCCTCCGCCGCATCTGCTCCCAGGATGACGCATTCCACTCCCGTACATCTCAGTTGTCCTCGTTTTTCAAGGACCGTAACTTCCCCTCCTCGGTGGTCGAGAACGCCCTCAACCGTGTCTCCCACATCTCCCGCACCTCATCCCTCACACCCCGTCCACGCAATAAAAACCAAAAAAGAATCCCCCTCGTCCTCACGTACCACCCCACCAACCTCCGGATCCAACGCATCATCCTCCGACACTTCCGCCATCTGCAATCCGACCCCACCACCAAAGACATCTTTCCCTCCCCACCCTTATCTGCTTTCCGGAGGGACAACTCTCTCCGTGACTCCCTTGTCCGCTCCACACTCCCCTCCAGCTCCACCACACCCGGCACTTTTCCCTGCAACCGCAGGAAGTGCTACACCTGCCCCCATACCTCCTCCCTCACCCCCATCCCAGGCCCCAAGAAGACTTTCCACATCAAGCAGATGTTCACCTGCACATCTGCCAATGTGGTATACTGCATCCGCTGTACCCGGTGTGGCTTCCTCTACATCGGGGAAACCAAGCGGAGACTCGGGGACCGCTTTGCAGAACACCTACGCTCGGTTCGCAACAAACAACTGCACCTCCCAGTCGCGAACCATTTCAACTCCCCCTCCCATTCCTCAGACGACATGTCCATCCTGGGCCTCCTGCAGTGCCACAACGATGCCACCCGAAGGTTGCAGGAACAGCAACTCATATTCCGCTTGGGAACCCTGCAGCCCAATGGTATCAATGTGGATTTCACAAGTTTCAAAATCTCCCCTCCCCCCACCGCATCCCAAAACCAGTCCAACTCGTCCCTGCCTCCCTAACCTGTTCTTCCTCCCACCTATCCCCTCCTCCCACCTCAAGCCGCACCTCCATCTCCTACCGACCAACCTCATCCCGCCCCCTTGACCTGTCCGTCCTCCCTGGACTGACCTATCCCCTTCCTAACTCCCTACCTACACTCACCTTTCCTGGCTCCATCCCCGCCTCTTCGACCTATTTGTTTCCTCTCCACCTATCCTCTCCTCTATCCCTCTTCTATCTGCCTCCCACTCTCTCCCTATTTATTTCAAAACCCCCTTCCCCTCCCCCTTTTCTGATCAAGGGTCTAGGCCCGAAACGTCAGCCTCTCTGCTCCTATGATGCTGCTTGGCCTGCTGTGTTCATCCAGCCCTGCACCTTGTTGTCACAAAATATAGGGTGTCAACTTTTACACAAGTGGCATTTTGGAAAGAAAACAGAGTTAATGGTCCCTGTGACTTGTTTCCTCTCCACAGATGCTGCCAGACCTGCTGAGTTTCTCCAGAAATTTCTGCTTTTTGTTTGTTTCAGATCTTCTTCATCAACAGTTCTTTGCTTTATTTTAACATTTTGGAAAAGTAGAAATGCACCCTGTCCCATGACCTGACTATCACAGGTCAAAGACTATTTTCGTCAATCCTGCCCCCAAAAGTACAGAAAAAAACTGAAAATAATATTATTAAAGTTTGATTTAGTATTCAGAGAGCAGGAATTTCTCAAGCAATTCCTTACCCTTACAGAGATTTAGTTGCTGCAAGCATTCATTAAAGGGTATTAATACTTACCACACCCACTAACATTGTGACCACCTCTCTGAGTGACTGAAATCTTTGTGTAACCATCACTGCATCCAAGGTGAACAGAGGGTGGGAAGTCATGGCTTTGGTCTGTAGGAATATCGGTGAAGACGTCTGCAAGAAACTGTTTGGAATCCAGAGTGAGGTGATAGTTTCCACTGTTAATCAGTTTAGTGAAACGTTTAATCAGCCCATCCCCCAGGAGAGCATTTTCTGCAAATGCAAAAAGAAATGAACTTGTCAATACTTAATAAGAGTTTTACTAGTTATTGTGGAAAGGTGCAGAACAGAGGGAGAAGGTTTTCCCGTGAAACTCAAAGAAGAGTCACTGGGCTCGAAATGTTATCTCTCTTTCTCTCTCTTATGATGGTGACAGTTCCATAAGCTTCTCCAGTGCTTTATATTTTTATTTGAAGTTGCACGAGAGATGTTTTTGTGATCACACTGATAGTTATGTCCTTGGAAAGTTCAAATGTTTTAATTGTGAAATCCTTTACCTTATTTCCTTAGCTGATCAAAGTAATAATAAAACTCGACATATAAAATTTACCCAAAGTTTACAAATGCTCATGCGATTTACATAGTATATTAAAATTGTTTGATGATGTTTTTCCAGTAAATGTGATTATATGCACAAATTATAAAACAACATATTTTACCTATATCATGCAGGTTAGGAAGAGCGGATGCTGGGATATCTTTAAGCTGTACTTTCCAAGTGACATTTACTCCTAAATGGTTTGTCTTCAAACATCCAACTGACACTGTTGAGTCATCGCATACTGAGATCAACAACGTTTCTCCAGAGATCATCACCTTGTAAGAGACAGGAATATTCAGGTTTTCAAGTTTTCCTATAATGTTCGAACGCTGAGATACTTTGAAAAAAATGATTACTACCAGCACGAGAAACGGAATTCCTTTTCAGTTTGAGGACCCAATGTCTACCACTACCTAGATCAACAAAATCAGTGGTCAAGGACATTCAGCCTCGGATCTTCGGGTAAACATCCTCCGAGTTGGACTTCAGGACACACAACAACGCAGAGTCGCCAAGCAGAGGCTGATAGTTAAGTTCGGTACCCATGAGGACGGCCTCAACTGGGATCATGGGTTCATGTCACACTACAGGTGACCCCACCACCAAACACACACAGCACACACACACACAAACACACACACATGCACGCACGCACACATCTATGGGATAGATTTGTATTTTGTTTAAAAAGCACACCATTTCTAGACAGTCACTCAATATGGTGTTTTACAAATTCCTACTTTAGAAATAAAAGCAGTCTGACTCCAAACTAAAACACAAACAGATTCTAAACAAGGCCTCACACCTAACATGTATTGTCTGACCTAAAATTTTACCTCTTCTTTAAACTGATAAAACCTTTAGTTCTCTCAGGACTGTGACTTGAAAGGAATTCAGGGATTTACGTATACATATTAATCAATTAAAACCTTCTAACTGATTAAAGATTTAACAACATCTTAGGTTTGTTTAGTACATCCTCATCAATGGTGTGAACCTTTGATCTTTTACTTATAAATTCTGTGTCTGGTACTACCTCTCTCACTAACACCTAAAGAAGGAGTGAGGCTCCAAAAGCTTGTGTTTTCAAATAAACCTGTTGAACCATAACCTGGTGTCGTGTGATTTCTGAATTTGTCCACTCCAGTCCAACACCTGCACCTCCACATCATAGTTCAACTACAGTTTAGACTAAATGCAGACTAAAGCTAGTCTATCACACACTCCAAGTTGAGCCATAATGTAGATTAAACAGAGAGCGAGTAATTTTAACTAATCTGTTCTGACATATTATGACATACTTCTGGACCAGTTGGGAATTGAGCTAGACTTTCCTTTCCAAAGGTAGGAACATCACTACTGTGCCACAGAGCTTTTCAATCGAAAACTATGTTTCCTCTACTTTACCCTAAATATGCCTCAATGTCAACTTTGGTAAAACATCTTCATTTCCACTTTTCCTCATTACAAGTGTTATTTCATATAAAAATAATGCGTATCTTTTTCTTTTGTTTTCTTCACCGAAGTCCAACTCTTATGCTCCTAGTACAATTGAATTGTTTGCAACATCACTTCAGATGGCAATTGAGTGGGGTTGAGGTCACAAAAAGGCCAGATCAAGGAAGAATAAAAGGTCTCCTTTTCAAAAGGACATTTGTGAATTTGTCAGGGTTTTCATGACAATCCAACAGGTTCATGGTTATGTTTGTTGTCAACAGTCCCATTTTTAAAATCCCAAATTGTTTAAATAACTACCTTCAAATTCTCAATATTGACGGTGGGATTTCGCTTACATGTTTCAGGATATTAGACTAACCTAGTACTAGTCCAACAGTACAATCACTGTGATCAGGGTAGACAGTGAGCAAAATCAAGCTGTATTTTTTTGCCCATGAGCAACTTAACCCTATCTTGCCAGTGATGCATCTGACAGTCTCATTACCAGGTTCATCAGCACATTGATGGGACTTTTTGGCCTTTAGGAGGGCAATTGTTCCATTTGGTACAGAGGCACATTGGTCTAATATATGCCAATATATCTCAAACATATACTAGACCAATTCTGTTATTTTATAGTAATGCATGTAAAAGTTACTATGTTTGAAGTTGCAAAAGGGTAAAACAGTTCGGATTTCTGCTCCTAATCATTATACAGTAACTTCTTTTCTTCCTTTCTGTTTGATTCTTATTCTTTTTTCTCTCCCCTTAGCCCCAGAGGTGAATCCTGGAGCAGCAGCAGGTATGGAGCAGCATGCGGGCCCTGTAGCAGTGAATGGGATGTGAGCCCAGGAGAAGGAAGTGGGCTGCGAGCCCCAGAGCAGCATGTGGGCTGTGAGCCCCGGAGCAGCATGTGGGCTGCAAGACCCCCCAAGTTGTGGGCTGTGAGCCTCCGAGTTGTGGGCTGCAAGCCCCAGAGCAACATGTGGGCTGTCAGTCTCTGGGTTCTGGGCTGTGAGCCCCCCGAGTTGTGGGCTGCGAGCCCCCCGAGTTGTAGGCTGTGAGCCCCCCCAAGTTGTAGGCTGTGAGCCCCCCGAGTTGTAGGCTGTGAGCCCCCCGAGTTGTAGGCTGCGAGCCCCCGAGTTGTGAGCTGCGAGCCCTGGAGCAGCATATGAGCTGCGAGCCCTCGAGTTGTGGGCTGCAAGCCCCCCGAGTTGTGAGCTGCGAGCTCCCCGAGTTGTAGGCTGCGAGCCCCCGAGTTGTGAGCTGCGAGCCCTGGAGCAGCATATGAGCTGCGAGCCCTCGAGTTGTGGGCTGCAAGCCCCCCGAGTTGTGAGCTGCGAGCCCCCCGAGTTGTGAGCTGTGAGCTCCCGAGTTGTGGGCTGCAAGCCCCCGAGTTGTGAGCTGCGAGCCCCCCGAGTTGTGAGCTGTGAACTCCCGAGTTGTGGGCTGCGAGCCCCAGAGTTGTGGGCTGCGAGTCCCCCAAGTTGTGGGCTGTGAGCCCCTCCTAAGTTGTGGACTGTGAGCCCCCGAGTTGTGAGCTGCGAGCCCCCGAGTTGTGGGCTGTGAGCCCCCCCGAGTTGTGAGCTGCAAACCCCCGAATTGTGAGCTGCGAGCCCCTGAGTTGTG